TGGAAAGGTGAAGGATTTAACGCATTGTGAATAAATTTAAGAGAAAGTGTTTAGTTTTTTTTAAAGCAAAACGTTGGGTCATTTAATAACCGAGACAAACCTTTAGTATATTGAAATGAAAATGCGCGTTTGGAGATTTTTTTTTAATTTATAAGTATTATTTTTTTGAATTATTAATTATTTATAATATAATAGATGATCAAGATGATTTAAGAAAAATAAAATGAATAGTTAAGATTTGCTTGGAAGGAAACTCAAGCCTCTTTTATAATAGTAGTATAGATTTTGAATAATTTTGCTAACATTAGTATCAATGTCACAATTAAATCAGTCAATAATAACATTTATCTCAAAAGTTTCAATGAGAGTTTTAGCATGAAGCCAAGGATCATATAGGAAGGATAAGTTATTATCAGTAACACTTAATGTGATCAATGAATTCATTTTTCTAGAAACTTGACATATAAATTTCATAAAATAAGTGACAATGTTTTTAGGCTTGACCCAAATAGAGTAATTATTTCCATTTAGCCAATTAGCAAAGAAAGTATTCTGATTATATAACCTCCAAATAAACTTGCATTTGCTCAAAAATGAAGATTATTAGTACAAGGAATGTCAAGTTCTCCATATAAGCAATTGATTTAGTGCTGTTACTCCAAGATATAATCCTCAATTTTTGTCATTACCATTATTATATAAAAAGTTACTCATATAGCTAGAAATTCTAAATAACATATATGGAGAGGGTATTAAATCTAAATCAATAGTGAAGATAGTTCTAGATAAAAGATAAAATCAACTGTAACATACTTGTAAAAGAAAGAAAACATTGTTTCCACCTACTAAGCTAGTTATTAAGCTTATTCATAACCATAGAACGATCGTTGGAATTAAGTTTAGAGTTATAGACAGTGTGCAAATATAATACTGAGGTAGGTTCTTAGGTTAAAAGCCAATGATGCTGCAAGTCTAGTCTTTGGAATTCATGTTAACGAAAATAAATGATTGATTTGATAGCATTAATATGAAGAACAGAAGACTCTTTGAAGATATCTAGGATATAAGGAGGTAGTTAATAGTTGTTGGATCTACTTTGCCAAATATGAAAAAATGTTCATCAACATATATAAGATGGGAAATAGAAGTATTCCACCCTTTATAACTTTTAAATATTTATATCTCATAACATTTTTTCATTAATCTAGAAAATTGTCCATGCCAATAGTAAAGCGAAAAGGAGATATATGACATACTCAGTGTAGCCTATTAATGAAAGAGAAGTACACTCTAAGTTTGTCATTGATGACAATAGGAAAATATATTGAAAGTGCAAGCTTTGATCCAATCAATGAACTTGAGGAGACATTCATATTTATATAACCTGTTATAATGAAACGTTCAATTGATCTTTTTAAAAGCCTTTTTATGTCAAATTTAGCGCAAAAATAGTTTGGAGCATTTTTAAGTTTGATGTTGTGCATCAGATTATTAGCTACGATAATATTATCAATAATATCATTACCATATATAAAATCAGACTTAGCATGATGAATTAGCTTATAAAAGAGAGGGTTTAAACTACCATCAAGAAGTTTTACAATGACTTTATAAATAGTGTTGCAAGGAGAGATAGACCTATAGTTATCAATGTTTTTATTATGAGAGTTTTTAGGGATCAAACTAATTGTAGAATGTTTTATCCTCCTAGGCAAAGTAGTTGCGTAAAGAAATTAAAAACAACATTTGTCTAAAAGTGACTAGTAATCTCATTAGCGTCTTTGAAGAATTCAAGTGTAAAACTAGCAGGCCGAAGAAATATATTAGAATCAATACTAAATAGACCAATACTAAATAATGCATTCTTAATCTCATCATTAGTGAATTGAGCTAGGAGATAATGATTATTATCTCCTCATTGAAAACAATGGAAAATAAGAAACAACAACATTATAAATTATATTATGAGAGCAAAGTTGATTGGCATTGAATTTATATTTCTTTGTTGCAATTCTTATTAGTTTGTTATTTTATCCTTTGTTAAAGGAATTTTAAGATGTAATTCTTAATAGTTTGGTGATTTCTTCTTTGGTAAAGGAATTTTAAATCATTGTCCCCTTGCTTAAGCCAAAAGCTTTGGGCTCTTTGTTTGATCCATCAACTTTCACAGCTGGTAACCTCAATAAGAGCTTATTGATTTATGATGATTTTATCAAATTTATTTCTATTAAACAAATGAGATTAGCATGAGAATCATTAATAATATTACCGTAGTGAGTGATTCTTATATCACCATTAACCCCTTTACTATTTCAAGATGTTATGTCAGTATTATGCATAAGGTATTCATATTTGAGTATCTTATTTACTCCTAACCTTGCTTTTCTTGGAAGTAGAGGGGATGGCTTTTTGAGCCTATTACAAGGTATCAAAGGTAGAGATAGAAGGGTCTAGGATGTTAGATGAGTTGATGTGGAGCTATTTAGAACTAGACAACAACATACACATAGCTTGGTTTGGGGGATGAAGTATGGATTTGGATGTGGAATAGTGATGGTTGGCACCATTTTGGTGTAGAGCATTAGTAGTGTTTAAAGAGGAGGACAAATCTATTAAGTGACTTAATTTAGGTGAAATGGGTGAATAAGAAGATTCATTACTACATGCAACATTTGAAGGAGGCTTATTAAGGTCTGGTTCATCAGTTTGTGCTTGAGGTATTTATGAGGTAGGATAAAAGTTGACTACTTTAGTAGTTATATTTTGTTTGGGGTTGATGCGATAAACTCTTCTAATATTCATTGGTTGTGTAGTTTCCATAACTTTTTTTGGACAATTGGCAGCTTTATGGGCAACAATGTTATATTTACTTGTGGAGGGAGATTCTATTCATAAACTGTAGACAATAGTTGTATTTCTTTGTCTTTTATAGATACGGTGATAAAACTAGGGAAAAGATAGGTGTTGAAATGTGGATAGAAACCCTAGTGAAAAGTAAGCCTTGTCCTTTTTATAATGAGAGAGCCAAAGATTAAGGGTATGCTAGTTTTGCTTGTTATTTTTGATATAACTTTCTTTAACCAACTACACAATGGTAGGTTAGGAATTTTAACCTATATAGGTACTTCCGTAAAATCTTCTTTTAGTTTTAGGGGAGAAAAATCTGACATCGATGGCTTGAAAATAAATGGAATACTATTGATAAATCAAGGACCACTAGATAGAACTATATCGATGTCTTCTGCCCATGAAAATTTAAATAGAGAAAACTCATTTTCAAGAGAGAGTAGTTTGAAGTTAACTTTTAATCTTTTAATTATACTCAATGTAGTTAAGAAGTTACCATAAAATGGTTGGCATTTGATGGTGTTTCCCACAAAGGAAAGGGTCTAGGATTTTGCTCTTTCCTCCACCTCATCAAAAATGAAATCTCATCATCTAAAGAATTGATGAAGTTAAGGGAGAATGAGGAATTGCTCGACACATTGGCAATAAGAAGGCTTTCTAATTAAGGGTTTGAGGTGAGAGAAAGAGATGTATGTGGTCTTTGAGTCCAAAATTGGGCGAATTATTACGCCCGGTGACCGGACGTCCGGACACCCAATCCAAAAGCGTCACGTCACCTTAATACACTGAGTCCCAACATATTTTGTTGATGTGACACATCTAAATTGGTGTCCGGACGAATCCGGACACCGAACGTAATAATTTGCCCAAAAATTGATGGTGGAACTATCGAGAGAGGTGAAAACACCAAATTATTCATACTAAACTTTTTAGCTCCCGTAAAGCAAAGAGCATGAGCTCTGTGATGCGAGAAACCCTTGCATAGCTTGCAAAAGGTTTCAAAAGCAACATATATATGATTTCTAGGATATTCGCTTGCTTTCTCTTTAGATGTGACTATGAAATATTTCAAAAAATTATATATTTCAATTCGTACGACTTACTATAATGAATATAAATAGATTTCTCATATAAAAATTGTCTTATTCGATCAATTTATGTGCTCTCTCTAAGCTCTATATTTGAAAAAAATATTTAGAGTTTTTTATGTAATTTGTATGATAAATTTTATTATGCAATAGTACATAATAAAATATTTTTTATTATAAGTTTATAGTAAACTATTATGCATTTCATTAATATTTGTTATCTTTAATTATGCATTTTATATTTATATATTTAGTGTCTTGTTTATTTTTTAAAATACATATCTTATTAATGAAATAAAAGTAATATTATTATTATTATTTTTTTTTATGAAAATAATTCAGGCATCCCTTTTCCCCACAGAAAATTTAGCCATTTCCCTTAGGGGTGTCAATTATTGACACGATCCAACAACCCAACCCAAAAAATTAGGGTTTGATTCGACCCGTTTAACAAATGGGTCGGGTTTTGGTCTCAATTTTCAACTCGTTTAAAAAACGTATCGGGTTCGGGTTAACCTGATAATCCGAAATTGACCCGTCTGCCAACCCGCCTCACGTATTCGCAATTTTGCATCCACGTTGGCACTACACTGTCTGCACCGAAGCCACCAATCGCGCCACACTTGACCTCGTTGTAGTCACCTAGTTGGCGCTACAACAAGCCCTATAACCCTGGTTATCAGGTCGCCTACGACATCTTAGCAGAGGTTCAAGGACACTCTTGTAGGCGCGCAGCTCTTGCTGACTCGCTCGAACCGCGCCAGAATCCTAATCTCCAGAATCCAGATCTAACTTTACGGGTTGATGGGGCGGGTCAGATCAACTAGATAATCAGGGCGGGTCAGATCAACTAGATATTCAGCGCGGATCAGATTGTAAATCTTAACCCATTTAGCTAAACAGATCAGATTCGATTCAACCCATTTACGTCCAAATTAACTCAAATTGAATCCGAACTTAACCAGTTGATCCGAATTGACAACCCTAATTTTCCTAGCCTTCGTGCGTGTTTATTGTTCCGCAGGTCACCGGAACGCTAATTCTCCGTTATATAAATAAATCCAAATACTATCCCTTTTTTTTAGTTGCAGTCATCTTCCTCGCGTACTTGTTCGGGTTTTTAGCAGTTCGTTCCAACTCTCGTGATCAACTCGAGCAACAAAGTCCTATCGAATCAAGTCAAGGACTGGGTTTTGTTTCTGACCTTTTCGTTCCTCCAGGTATGGCCAAGTTTTGCGTTTCCTAATCGATTTCCTCCCCGTCTAGGGTTTCCTTCTGACGTTCAGGCGTTTCATGTCGGAAACCTCGTTTTATTCCGTTTTCTTCTCTGAAAAATGTTATCGGATGCGTCTGGGATTTCTATGAATCTAATAAATTAATTGTACCCTGATTACCTTTGTTACTCGAGTGATTCGATTTGTTATTTTCTGATCGGAGCTTAAAGAATGCAGTCCGTTGAACAAAAACAAGCCTCCAGATTTGGCTTCTGCCTGATTTGGTTTCTCCAAGCGAGCATTGGACGAAGTCTACAATGGGGAAAGGAGCAAATCCAGATCTTTTTGTCAACGATGGCTCCTTCATGGAAAAATTTAAACAGCTACAGCAAGATAACCATGAGAAGGAGTTTTCTGAAGAGTCCAAATCTGGCACGACCACCAACTCGACCCTCTCCATAAAGCCTATCGCTATTCCGAACAAGAGACCGCTGGAAATTAAATCTACTGATATAAAGAAGCCCAGTCCTTCTGGATCCAGTGGGAAGTTAGCTTTCAGTTTGAAGCAGAAATCTAAGATTGTGTCTGCTCCTGTTAAACTAGCCGAAGATGAAGAAGATGACCGAGGGGAGTCAGAGGCTGGAATTTCTGAGCCTGCAAAGAGGCATAAACCGGGGCTGTTGAATGCTTCCAAGTCAAAACCAGAGAATGGGGATGGTAATGATTTCTTGTTTATGTATTCTCATAACTTGAGAAATATGGTTTTTTTTTTGGCAACTATCTATTTCCTGCTACCTTTCTAATCAGATGTGCTGGTTTCCTTTTCTTAAGTCGAGATTGAAACATCCCCCTCATTCGTTAAAGAATGATTGGCATGAAATTGTAAATTTTGGACATATCACTGCAGGAATGTCTTTTCAGAAGCTAATTGAGCTTTTTACGATAATATGGAAACAACATAGTATATAAATACTAGAACCTTGAAAGTGTTCTCATTAATGCAGCTTATATCTTATGTGTCCATCGACCTTGGTGGGAGATGTTGATTGAAAGATTTGGAAAATGTGGCACGCCTGCTACAACAGTAATTTGCATTGCCATGCTCATACTTTGGTATTAATCATTCTTTAAGTGACATGCAGCACCAGTTCCTCCTAGTGATCCTACAGTGAAGAATGCCGCGGACAAATTAGCTTGCTTTGTTGCCAAAAATGGAAGGTACTTTGAGGATGTTACACGGCAGAAGAATCCTGGAGATACCCCGTTTAAGTATGAATGCTCTTTATTTGCATAAAATTTCATTTAGAATTAGCATTTTCTATCAAAATTTCTGCTTAATAATGGCATAAAACTTTGTCTTATTTATTTTTTAGCCGATTGTTTTGTATGACTAAGGTTAATTTTTAGTTCTTTCCCTTGTAATGTATAAGATTTGAGGTTTCTGCATTGCACGGCCAAAGGACATCATTTTGGACATGAAATTTCATATAACCACATATGACATTTTTATTAACTTCTTTGGGATAAATTTGTGTGTCGTATTCACTTTCCTTGTGGAGTCATCTATTTTATTTTCTATGACCATCACTAATTTAGGTGCTTTGCAACCTCCAACCTTGAGCTGCTTCTTTAGAAGATTGTTTTTTTTTAATGATAATACATCATTGGAAATATTTCTAGTTCATATGCACAAATTTATGTATGCTTCCAGGTCCAAGTTGTGAATGATCTTACCTTGCGGTGAGGTTGGCTTGATTCTGTCATGTCTGGTTTATGGAGGGATTGATTAAAGCCATTCTTGGCTCATTGATTTCATTTGAATGCTCAATAGGAGCCAAAAAAATGATTTTGTTTTTTATTTTTGTTTGTCATTCTGATAACCGCAAGCAAGCTCACTATATTTTTTGCATGCTTCATATGTGCATGTGATCTATATGCTTGCGTACACACATACCAGTTTGTTTACATTCATGCGTACATACCTTTTTTTTTTCAATTATGAGCTTGATCTGATCCAGGGTTCTGTTAATCTTAGCTTGATTTGGGCCAAAAGTGAAATTGACAGTCCTATATACAGTTATGCTCATCTATATTTCTAAATGTATTGGGTTTTGTAACATTTATTCTTTTGCCCATAGGTTTCTATTTGACACAAGCTGTTCAGACTACAAATACTATGAGTTTCAGCTTCTTGAAGAGGAAAAGATCCAAGGAAAGTCAAATGATTCTCAAACATCACATCATGGTTAGCCAGCCCCTTAAATTTGTATGAAATTTTAAATGCATTATTTTTCCTCATAAAATTGAAAAACGTCTTCTGGCAACTTCTTTTTATGTCTTGCTGTTTTTATTAACAGAAAGCAGTGGTGTTGCTGCAAGTTCTAAAACACCAAATACTTCTCAGAGGACTCCTATACAGAAAAATTCGAATTTCCAGACTCCAGCATCAGCTTTATATGGTGTTGATGAGGACACAAAAACTTATGCTGCATCCATGGGGAAAACCTCCTCACATGGTATTGTTAATTCTGTCTACTATGTACTATGCTAAGACCAAGTCACTTGCTTCTGTTGGTTGTTTCTTAGTCTCCATATGGTGGATCTATTCTTTTTGGTTTGCAGTCTCTCATGGCTTGCCAAAATATCTTGTGGAGTATACTTATTTAGAGGCTGTTTGGCTGCATGTAATATAAGAATGCAGTGTAAGAGTGCTTTCTTTTTGCATTAAGCTGTTTGATTGAATGTGAGGTAAATTTATACTGGATCTATTTTTCTTGCTTGGTTGGATGAACAACGAAAAGTCAGGTTCTCCAGTGAAATGATGGGGTCAAACTTTGGATGCAGATAGGGAAAAGACTAAGGCTTTAATTTGCACATTAATTATTTAATCTTTTGTATAATCACTACGAATGCTTTTACTGGAATATTTTAAAGCTAAAGCCGATGCCATCTATTCCAAATTTGAGTCTCTAATCATAAACATAGGGGCACATTAAAGGTTTAAATCTACAAATTTTCTACAACTGAAAGAATACCCAAATCAATAGTAAAATTCTTCTGATAACACACTTGTAAGCCTCAACCTCTTAACCAAATCACAAAACAACCATGGATTCACTGAAACCTATCTAAAAAACCCCTAAAATGAAATCAAATACAACAAATACAAAGTTATTACCAATTTATACATATTTAAACAAAAACTGTTGGATATACTCTGAAGATTAAAACCCAAGCCACGTAGGATACTTTGTTTTAGAGGTGAACATTAAAGATAGGTTTGATATGAAAAAGAAAAAAAAGGACCAGAAGCATCTTGCATCTCATGGCATGGTAGAGAAGTTCTTTTACAGATCAGCTCTTTTATCTGAGTGCCTGGAAGAGCTTGAAGATATTATAATCAAAATCTTAAGCAGGAGCAAGGGACAGTGCAGTTGGAGTTGGTAGAGCTGTAAGTGAAAAACATGAACACGAGAATTGTTGCAGTTGTGAAGCATCGTCTTTCAGAATGGCCTTTAAATTGGCCCTAGAGTTGCTGCAGCCTCTTGATGAAAGGGAAAGGAGATATGTTGGAGAAAGTAAAAAAGAGGTTACATGATCATTTCTTTTTTGTTGTAAGATAGCGCCCATTTGGATGCAACTACTTTACCATAAGCTAGGCGTGATTTGGCCGTAGCTACTTTACTAAAAAAGTTGAGAGTTTGAGGTTTCTAGAATGCATTATAATTTTATTGTAGCTATTTTTTTTATTAAAACACATTTAGAAAAGTTAATTTATTTAAATGTATTTTAAAAAATAATAATTTATCCTCATTTATATCAAATCAATGAACTCCAGAATGGTACAAATTACATGGTGTGTTGAAACTTCAAGGGTGCTTTCCTTGTTTGAAGTTTGGTAGCTTCTTTCTCAATAAGATACCCATGTAGTTTCTTCCAGGTCTACCTTGATGCTCTTCATTTTATTATCTTATTTTTATTGAGACAAGATGAGGACACACAAACCAATTCAACTAATTGTTAACTGTTTTTACAATTATCCCAGCAGTCTCCAGAGAATGAGTTGCTCTGAGAAAGTTCTTCATATTTATTTTCTTCTCCTTTAAACACTTTTTTTTTTAAATTTCACATGCATGATGTGTGTTCGATTCTCCTTTTTGTTGGCTGGATGGGTAGGAGTTCTGATCTTTAATTAGCTTAGATTAGCTTTCAGTTAAAAGAATAATCAAATCATTTAGTTTTTCTATCATTTAGTCTATATATCTCTTATGTTGTACCTTAGTTGTTTTACTCTAAAAGTTTTGCTAAAGGGTATTGAGAAAAGTATTAATTCTATAGGTTTTTTATGAGAGATGTATAATAGGCTAGGCATTACAGAAGAAGAAAAAAAAGGTAGAAGTGATTTAGAAAGTTTGATCAAATTAGGTGCATTAGGAATGAATATAAGAAAATCTTTGTTAAAGATGAATATATCAAGATAAGTTGGAAGTATTACATTGAGAAATTATTAAGTGAGGGTTTTGGTGAAGAAATCATTTTTAAATAGTATAATGAATAGAAGAATGGGGTATATTATATATTTGATTAAAACAAAGGTGAAATTAGCTCTTAAGAAGATGCATAAGTATAAAGTATTAAATCTATATGAGATAGCTATTCAGATTTGGACAATTGTTGTGATATTGTTTAAGTTAGTTTGACCCACCACAAAAATTTTAATCGAATTTTGAGGACAAAATGCTTGTCAAAATATTTGGGAATCAACATTTTGGTGTTAATATTTAAAAATAAAGGAGATGTTCATGATTTTTGTTATTATAGAGAAATAAAATTTATAAGTCATATTATTAAGTTGTAGAAGAGTAATAAGACATGTACTTAGAAAAAACTATATTGGTATTAGAGAATTAATTTGGTTTCTGAAAAATCACTATAAATGCTATTTTTTGTGTTATGAAAATTAATGTAGGAGTACAGAGAGTAGAGAAATGTATCTTCATATTGTTTTGGGAAGGCATATCTTCAAATATCATGAAAATTAATTTGATGCACATTAAAGAAAAAAAGAATATATTTGAAGTGTTTGTTGAAGTTATTAAAGATATTGATAGGAAACACTTGAGTTCCCAAGTGTTTCTCACCAAAACTGAAGTTGATCCGATGGAAACTGCTGCCCACAGCAGAAATACAGCAGAAATCTGCTGTTTACAGCAGAAAAACAGCAAATTGACAATGAAATCTGATTGAAAACTTTAAGTTGGTTGTGGAGTGACAAAGTTTTTTCCAATTATAGTAGAATAATAGGTAGTTTCAACATTAAGTTCATTTTTTAATGTTGGTTATGCGATGCATTGGCATAAGTTTTTTGCATATGTTTGTTCTAATAAATGGGGCATTTGTTGAAATAAATGGTGTTATGACTTGAGATGGGAGGAGTAGCTTCTATTGATGATAAGGTAATGGGTAATAAGCTTAGATGATTTTTGACATTTTTACAACAAAAAGTAGAAAATATACTTATAAAATGGGTGGTAAATTTGGTGTCAAGGGAATAGGATGGATAGGCTTTAGGCCAAATGTATTATGGATACAAATCTTACCAAAAGAAATTGTGCAAAATAGGTTCAACATCTCATGCAGTACTTATTAAGAACAAATGGGGAATGAGGATTTATATAGGGGAGCCCAAATACTTAGGATAATTGCTAATGATGATTGTGATAATTTGTGAGGGAGACATAGTTTAAGACGATGAGAAGTTGTTCACCAATATGATTGGAGAAACTATCATACGCTGAATTCAAGAAGGAGATCAGCAGAGACTATTCTAAAATTTACTATTTCTTACAGAAGAACTACCATTATATGAAGTCTTCCAGATTTTTTTTCTGTTCGTTGATGTTTGTTTGAGAGGATAAGAATCACCAAAATTGAATGTCATAAATCAAGTTAAAAGCGTATGAATTTGTATCAAATTTATTTATTGTCAGCCCCATCAGTAGGATGGGTTGGTGAACTAATCATTTAATTATGCTAATGTTAGCTAACAACAACACTACCAAGCCTTTATCCCACTGTGGGGTTAGCTATTTGAATCATGTTTTTCCATTGTGTAATGTTAAGAGTCAAATTCTCATTTAAATTTAATAAAAAAAAGATCATTTTTAATATTTTCTAGCCAAGATTTTTTAGGTTTTTCTCTACTTTTCTTAACATATGCAAAATCTAATACATTTACTCTCCTAACTCAGACGGTCGAGTTTTATGCGTCTAAATCATCTAAGGCGACTCTTTTTAATCTTATATGCCATTAATGCTACTTCAACCCTTTCACGTACATACTCGTTTTGCATTTGTCTCTAAGAGTGAAGCCACTCATCTACTTGAGCATTCTCATCTCTATGACACTTAACTTTATGCTTCTCTTTTAATGGCTAACTTTCTATGTCATAAAGCATTGCAAGTCTCACCGCCATCTTATAGAATTTTCCTTTAAGTTTGAGGGGTACTTTTCTATCACACAACATACCTGGTGCATTCTTCCACTTCAACTGTCCAACTTGAATTATACTAATAATATCCCCATCAATTTCACCATCACTTTGAACAATAGATCCAAGATATCTAAAATGTATACTCTTATTAATGACTTGATCACTTAAAGTCACAATCCCCCACTATATTTATTGCTACTAAAAATACACTTCATGTATTTGGTTTTAGACCCTACTCAAATGAAAACTTTTGGACTCTAAGTTTGATCTCCATAATTCTAAGTTATTTCAAGCCCCTCTCTAGTTTTATCTACATGAAGAATATCACAGAAAAAAAAAAAACATACTTTGGATACCCCAGAGATTATCCTCTTGTAAATGTTCAGTAAGAACATCCGTGACCAAAACAAGAAGATATGGGGTTAAAGATAATCTTTGATGTAACTAATTGAAATAGGAAAATACTTGGTCAAACCACCTTGTGTTTGAACACAATTAATAGCTACTATATACATATATCTTTAATGACTTGAATTTAAGCATTATTAACTCATTTATCTTCTAGAACTCTCCAGAGCACATCTCTTGGAATTTTATCATATGTTTTATCTAAATCAATAAATATCATATGTAGATCCTCTTTATTCTCTCTATTCTTTTCTATTAAAACTCTTAATAAATTTATAGTGTCCATAGTAGACCTACCTGGCATAAATCCAAATTGATTTTGAGAATCCTTAGTATCATGTCGTAACCTATGCTCAATAACTCTCTTCCATAGTTTTAAAGTATGACACATTAACTTAATTCCTCTATAATTCACACACTCTTGTGCATCACTTTTATTCTTAAAAATTAAAATCAACTTACTTTTTTTCCACTCATTTGACATTTATAAGCCAAGAAATTCTTTAATCCTCTAAGTATTTCCACACCTCCATTGGATTATCATAAGGTATAACTGTTTTTCCTCGCTTCATTTTTTTTAAGACTTCACTAACTTCAGTTTTACTAATATGACAATAAAAATAACAATATCTATCTTCATTTAGGGTGTTAATGTCATTAAAAAGTTAATTGTATTATCACAATCTTCATTGAAAGCTTATCAAAATATCTTATCCATATTTGTTGAATATCATCTTCTAATAAAATTACTTTTTGATCTTCATCCTTAATGAATTTCATTTGAATTAAATTCTTCACTTTCCCTATCTCTTTCTTTGGCTAGCTTTTCTTAGTATTCAATTTATTATATAAATAATTAAAATCTAAATTCTTTACATTGAATATTGCTTTCTTAGATTCTTTGCGGGTCTTTTTATATCTTTCACAATTTACAGGCTTTTATATCAAATCAATTTTTATAACAAAACTTCTTCTTTTTTAATATTTTATTGCACATATTGATTTCACCACCAACTGTTTTTACTATTGGAGGCTTTTCCTTATGATATTCCAAGCACATTATTTGCAACATTCTTAATATCACTAGTTTTTTTCTTCACATTGCATTAGCTTCCTCATGCACAATTAAAATCTTTAGAAAACTGAAGGTCACTCTAACAAATATTTTTGTTAGTATTCTTTAAAGCCCTTCATTTAATCCTAAGACAACATTTTATTTTATTTTTTATATTCCGCCCCTTCATTTAATGTCTAAAACTAGTAAGCGATGTTGTGTTCATAAATTTTCACTCAGAATAATTTTACAATTTTTACAACATAAATGATATTATTTTCTTATAAGAAAATAATCAATTTAAGTTTTATTATATTCATTTTTATAAGTGATGCGGTGTTCCTCTCTTTTCTTAAATAAGATATTAATAATCATAAAATCATAAACTAGAGTAAAATCTAATATGTTCCTACCAACTTCATTAGTCGCTCCAAACTTATAGCCACCATGAATGTTTTTAAAATTTTTTACCACTCCACCAACATGATCATTTAAATTTTTTCCAATAAAAACTTTCTCTAAGAGATATCTTTTGTATTAATTCTTTTAAGTTATTCTAAAATTTTAATTTTGAGCATATATCCAAATCTTCCTGAGGAGCTTAAGCACTTATAATGTTAATATCTTAGCATTAGTAATAATCTTTGAAGCCATAATGGCATAATTTTATCTCCAATTATATTAATTTCTACATTATTATCTTTCAAACTCTTTTTTATAATCGCACATACTTCATTTCTAGTATGACTCTTACCTGAAAAGCATAGATTAAATCCTAAACTATCAATCTCCTTAGCCATTTTCAACTCATTTAATTTTTTGAATGTATAGAATATTTATCTTTCTATGAATTATAATATTTATTAATTTGTTTGCAAGATAATTTATATTCCAATTTCTTATCCTAATCCTAATTTCATGAACTAGCTTCTTTGCCTACGTCCCCACGTCCGTCCATAATGTGGGAACCCTTGCCTATTTAACACTGCACATGGGCATCGCTGCAGCGGCCCTTGCACACTTCTCGTAGTATTCAGGTCATACAATGTGTTGTTTCTAGGAAACATCTTAGCATTAACATAATGTATTAAATGATTCATGTTATGATTATTTGACAAGTTTTATGTTGGTTGTCAACTATTTAATGCATCCCCTCCACTTTTCTCATCCAGAATTTGGGACCTGACAACAACAATATTAAATTTCTACATGTGACTAATGCTAATGCTAGCCAATATGCTTAAATTTCTATTTGTTTTTTTGTGCGAACTTTTTGCATTATTGAATTTTCAAATTTAATTGCCGTTCTTCCCTTGGTATTATGGCCTTGTGAGTTGTGACTAAGGCTTCAGTTCATACAACTTTTCGTCTGTGGAACTTGTCCTTGTGTAGTTTTGGTTTATATGAAAATATGCTTAAAAATCAACATTTTGAGCATTTGCGTTCTTTTATGACATGAGCATTCGGATCAATTTACGGAGCGACTCATAATTCTATGTGCAAGTATGATAGATATTATTTTATTCAACACAACAAAAGTGCATAGTTAGCAGATTTGTACATATGCTTGTTGCTACCCTATCTAAGGTGGATTGGTGATTCAACACTGGTTAATTCAACCAATGCTAGCTAAATGATATATTATGTGATTTCTATGTTTGGTGTCGAGTTAATATATTCCTGTTTCATACTTCTAATGACCATGACCACAATGCATGCTGCCATGGTCTAAACATCCATTGGCCATTGTTGATCCGCTTCTAATATTGTTATAACAGAGTGCTTATGAGTTTCTACAGTTCTTACGCTTATGAGTCTCTACAGTTGTAATCCTGTTATAACAGAATGCTTATGAGTCTCTACAATTCTTATGCTTGCTATTCTGTTTCTTTCTAATTCTGTTATTTTTCCTTTCTTTTGTTTTCCATGAAAAACCAACTTTTCCTGGCACTCTATGAAAAGTTATATTGTTCAAACTGATGTATCTGTGGCTTCTATCAACTTTGCACTAAGTTGGAAATTGATAGACCGATCATTATATATTTTTTGAATGTTAAAGCAACATGCTTAATTGATAATCTGCATCTAGAAATTTAATCTGAATTTTCCCTTGCAGGTGAATCTAGCGGGCCTCCATCGTCAGATCCCATTGCAGTGATGGAGTACTACATGAAAAAAGCTGCTCAGGAAGAGCGGAAGAGGCAACCACGATATTCAAAAGATGAAATGCCACCACCTGCATCTCTTCAAGGTCTTTATCTTTCGCTATCTCTGTTTTCTGTCACTATTCTGAACTATATTTATGATATGTTTTTAGTGAAAGAACGACCAATGCTTATTCTGAAATCACGGAGCCGTACTTATGCTATTTGTTTGTACAATTTATCCTCCATCTTAAGTGTTCTATGGTTATTGGGATTTGCTAGTATAATATTGGATCTGTATCATTTTATGTTTGTTTCCCTGCAGCTTCTTCCAGAAAGGGGCATCATATGGGTGACTTCATCCCACAAGAAGAATTGGAGAAGTTCTTTGCTAGTTGCAATGATGCTGTTGCCCAGAAAACTTCTCTAGAAACTGCAGCGAGGTCCAGAATCCAATCCGACAATGTTGGGCATAAACTTTTATCTAAAATGGGATGGAAGGAAGGTAAGGCTGTTACACAGTTCATTGGATCTTAATATTTGAATCAGCTCACATGTGCCACTTTAGACCCCTTATTGTGTATGTTTCTCGGTGAATACTTTACTCTGGGGGTGTAAGTGAGTTAAGCCCATTTGAGCTCGGCTCAATAAATGCCTTGTGAGTTAAGTTTGATGAGCTAATGAGCCAACTTTGAGTTAGCCTCAACTTGACTTGTTAGTTTGTGAGCTTGCAAGCCATTATATATCCCTTATTATGTATGTTTCTTAGTGAATACTTTACTCTAGGGGTGTAAATGAGTTATAAGCTTACTTGAGCTAGGCTCAATAAATGGCTTAGAGCTCGATGAGCTAATGAGCCACGTTTGAGCAAGCCTCGACTCGACTCAACTCAACTCGTTAGCTCATGAGCTAGCTTTTTTAAAAAATATAACTATAAAATATATTAGAATTTAGGAGTTCAAATATAAAGCTATTAAAAATATTCTAAAATAACATCTCACTTTATTTCAAAGTTTTAGGAATCATAATCCATTTCTCTTTTATTATAAAAAAAGCTAGCTCAAACTTTAAATTAAGCTCGAGTTCAAATTTGATTATTTAATCAAGCTCCTAGGGGTGGCTCATGCTCGGCTCAACTCATTTACACCCCTAGTTGTGGACATTTTTTTATTTTTTTGCACACGAGCTATTTTATGAATTTTCTAATAAATGTTCTTTCATGAAGTTTATTGATATGAAACAATTCAGTAGGTTTCATGCCTATTTATATAGTAATATATGTTTATTTTAGGCGAGGGACTTGGCAGTGCTAAGGCAGGTCGTGCAGATCCTGTTATGGCTGGGAATGTAAAACTGAATAATCTGGGGGTCGGTGCTGAGAACCCAGGCGAGGTTACACCTGAGGATGACATCTATGAACAGTATAAGAAAAGGATGATGCTTGGTTATAAATACAGGCCAAATCCTCTGGTATTGTCTACCACCCACTCTTGCTTCTATTTATTTATTGGGATTATACTGGAAGAACATCTCCCTTGTACAACATGTACTGGGAGAACATATCTGTTTACCATTTTCAAAGTGCAATAGCTCATGGAGATTTGCTACTTTTGCAGAACAATCCTCGGAAGTCATATTACTAAGTGGAAATGGTGTTCCTCAGCAGGTACAGCATATCCTATGATGCTGGGTATATAAGTTGAACCCAATGCCATGCAATGTTATTTTTTTGAGATTTTTAAAAAAAAAAAAAAAAAAAACCGAGTCCTTGCTTCCAAATAGTTTTGTTGTGTTTCTGCTTTTTGAAATAGGATGGACTATTCTGTTAATATATATATATATATATATATCTCGTTAGAGTGAAATTATTTTGTATGGATATGGATGCTGTCGTCCGGAGGCAAATTAGAGTGCGCCACGTCACTCCTTTGTTGTATACCATGGCTATGTACCCGATGTATACTAGTTGATGTGGCACGCTTTAATTCGCCTGAGGATGAGATTTGACGTCCGCACAGAATAATTTCTCCTCGTTAGAACCGTGCATCTTGTTTTTAGTTTTCCTGAACGAAACTAAAAGAGTACTATAAAAAAGTATTGGGAAGTGCATTTGGATAAGGGCCTAAATTGATCGAACATGTTTGACCAAGAAAATTTTCATAGATTTTTTTTTCTCTTGCTAGAACTTTTTGCTCAGATTGCTGTATTGTTTATTGTTGGATTGGCTGCTTACATGACTAAATGGTTGGATGATAACCATTAAATCTCGGAAACTTCTTAGCTGAACTGTATGCAAGTGGATTTTTGTCCAAGCTTTTGCAAAGCTTTGCTGGAAATTACATTATTTTTTTTTTCAGGTATGCGTTCTTAGTGATAAATTTATGCATTTTTTTCTTCATAGGGAACTTGCCCGGCCCGTTTCTCTGTGAGCTAGCAGCTGAATATTACTGATATCCAGAACTCTTTCGATCCGGCTGTCTCGAGCAGATGAAGTGCTTCTGCACTGAAGCTTTATTTCGTACTGATTATTTGACCTGCATCTCTTATAAGAATCTTAGCAATCTTTATTTGTTTTAGGGGGAAAAAATCTTGCGTATTCGGAAAGCTAATCAAAGGTCTTAATTCTTCCGAATCAGTTCTCTAGCAAGCAAACGATTTTAGCTTCCTACAGTTAATATTTTTTGCTTCCTACAGTTTTCTTTTTTTTTTTTTTTTTTTAGCGATTTTGTATAGGGGAATGCTTCTGTGGGTCTTATACTACATAAATTGTGGATTTCATATTTATTGCGAGCCTCCAGCAGATCTATTGGCACTAGAGATGTTCTTGATCCACTTATCCTTATCTATCATCGCTCATTCTTGGTACTAAAAAAAAACTTTAGGGCTGCAGTCAAAGTTCTCAATCAACAGATAGTTTTCATAATGCGGACTTTGAATCTAGTTTTCAAATGAGTGAGCATAATTCTCATTTTTAAAAATAAATTTTGGTTTACCAGTATTTGTTAGTCTATTGTGCCCAAATTTTTTATAAAGTAGATGTGTTAATGTTTTCATTAATTGAGATAATTTAATAGCAGTTAATGCATAAGTTTATATGTATATAAGGCCTTTGAAATTAATATTATAGGAGTTAAACGATTCAATTATTTGTTTAATTTGTCTTTTTTGTTTCGAAGTGAGGTAGTTTAAAATTTAATAAGCATAAAAAGTTAAATCCAAGCTGTAACGGTAGTTACTAACAGAGCTCTATATTGGGTGCTCATATTCACACCTATTCATGTACTCACCCACATGTGTGGGTATGGGTATGCCCATACTCAACATCAGAGCACAAATCGAATTACATTACTAATTACCATATGCATGTAGTATATTATAGTAATCCTTATTACGCAGTGCGCAATACGAAATCTCGTCGTGATCACGATAAATTTTGATATGTGGCTTGAAAGTTTGCAGTCAGAGAAAATGACAAAAACCTCAAGGCCATTAATTCATGGCACACTGCATTTAAGAATTGTGAAAAGTGGGTGGGTGTGGGTGGATATGATATCCCGAAAGTCACCAAAGGTGGGCATGGGTGGGCAAAGCCCGCTAGCTCAGAGCGTGGTACCCAATGGGTACCGAACCAAGGGTACCCAACCAAGACCCTGTCTAAGGAACTTTTATTACATCCAGTGAACGTACGCTCCTCTACGTTCGGTTTTAGACCAAAACAGTGCAATACCGAGGTTTTGGTCTAAAACCGAACGTAGAGGAGCGTACTTTCACCGGATAAAATAAAAGTTCCTGTCTAAGGCTCTAGTTACTAACTTCTGTATTTCTGTGCGGCTGCTGTTAAGGATGGGAAAGCAGTTTTATTTTCATGAAAAATAATTAGTTAAAAATATTAGGGAGATTTATGTACATAAACTATAAAATTATTATTATTAAAACATTTTCATTGAAAGTAATAAGTAAAAATATTAGGGAGATTTACATGCATAAACTATAAATTTATTATTATTAACATATTTAATATGTCAATTAATTAATTAATTATATAATACGTAAATTTAAAAATAAAAATAAAAAATACAGTTTAAATTGTTCTTACAAATTTCATTCTTTTAATCATTTTATTATAATAATTGCTTATAATATAAAAAATACTTGAAACATATTATTAGAATTTAATCTTTTAAATACAAAATTGTTAAGAATATTAAAAATTATATTCCAGTTTCTTGGATTATGTAATTCTTTATTATTATTCTTTTAGATTTCATTCTTTTTTTTTTTTCATTTTATTATAATTGCTTAAATCATATTCATTTTCTCTTTTTCATAATGAACAAACCGACTCTTGAGCTCGCTCGAACTCATAGAATAAAGTTCATGCCCGAACTCAATTAATTAATCAGATTCAAGCTCAAGCCAGATGTACCTCGAGCTCGACTAGTTTACACTCCTAGGTGCAACCATTTTGTGTATTCGCATTGAAGATGTATGCAAGTTGGGGCATGATCTCATTGGGAAGTCTTCTTGTTGAGAAAGGTGCGGACGGACAACACGCAACTTCCTCTCGTAAGTAATTAGTGATCCAAGAAGATTGTTATTAGAGTAAATATTTAAATCTTTAGATTTTGTAATTATAGTTATTTTAGCATCATATGCAGTAGGTAAATAATAAATAATCTTAATTTCTTATATACTAATTTTAATAACATTTGCATTCAAGTAGTGTATCCTATTATTGCATTAACCACAGAGGTCCATACTGACTTATCTGATTAATTCTATCCTCTTTGGATGAAAAGAATTGAATACAGCGATTCTAAAAATAGTTTTATCGATTAAATTCCAATCATTGAAAGGGAATTGGATAATTAGGATAAACCACCTCTATAATTGCCATGATAACAATAAACAAATGGAAGAACTAGGATTTTAATAAAAGGTTAAAAGTTTTATCCAAAATTCAAGGGGCAAGTTTTTTATAATATATAGAATTATAAAATAAATTTTAATATTATATATAATTATACATAATTTTCTCAAATCTAATGAAATAGTCACCCTCAACTCCCTTAGTTCAGCCATTGACTTCATAGTATCTAGACTGCCGCATTCAACTCGTCCTCTTAGATCATCTTCAATCGACCTGCAAATAGATATTTGACGTCCGCCTCAAGCTCCACGCAAACACAATTTACAGTAGTATTTTCACAATGTGAACAGTATCACGCCAATATTAGCGTTGAACTGTACACGAAAATATTTTTTTTATACATGAAATGACATAAGCAGAGAAACGCAAACAATTCTGGGTTTGTAACTCCAAAAGAACTGAGATATATCATAAAATCAATAGAAAATTTAGGCATTGCATAAAAAAATTCATGGAATAATTCAATCTTCATTTTTGAGAGGAAAAAAAAAAAAAAATCCATAAGAAGAGATCAAATTGAACATTGTGATACTTATTCTGACCTTGGAACTCTATATTAAACTCATTACAGTCTGTGCAGCCGATGTGTTTGATCACAGGTTTGGAGTGAAAAATTTAGGGTTTTGAATCTCCGGAGAGTATTTAAACTAAAGTTTTGAATTTGTTACCTTTCTTCGTGGAATTTGGAGTGCATCGTAATGGCCAAAGCCATGATAAAGAACTCGAATTGGATCCTCCTTCCCATATTCTTGGCCATACTCAGCAATGGCTATCAGGCCACCTGCTTCAGCATCATCAATATAGACTGTGATTGGCATCCTACAAGAAAAAAACTTTATTCAGTGTAATTTTATTTTATTCCAGTAAAGTGCTACTTGAGGTGATAAATTCATTCAGTGTAATTTGATTTTATTTTTAACTTTTATCCATATAACTTTGTAGTTTTTATCCTGTTCCCTCAATATTCTTCTATATTTTGTCTTATTGGTGCAAATTTTACCTCTGATATACATATTAAAGGCATATAAATCTATTTTTCATTATCCTAAACTTAAATAGGTACCAATACTCAAGTCTCCCTTCAATAATCAGTTCATAATATATCCTCATTAATTTTGCCACATATCATTTGAGCATTCACATTTTGCCACATATCATTAGTGAGTCTTTATCGCCGACACTCTTAACGGATTTAATTATAGTTTTTTTATTTTCTTTTAAGTCTAACAAATAATCTTTTATAATATAGTACTCCAAAGGCAATTCTTAATGGCATTATATCCCTATCTATATCTTGAGTTATATTGTATAATTTCATGTAGTTAATGATTGCCAGAAAACAATCTAAAATAAATTTATGCCATTTTTGCAAGTTTTGGCTAAGGTAAAAAGTTGGCACATGTAATATATCTTCAATTGTTAGCCAAAAGTAAAAACTAGCCTCATAATAAAAATTGCATCAAGAGATCTTCCAACAAAATACGAATTAAATACCACATATACCTGCATTTTAGTTGTGGATGCAAATCTTAAGTATAATTACAAAATTATTGTTCTTTAGGAATATTAATATATAATTTTTCTTTGGACATATTTCATGGAGAATATCACCCAAGCTTTATCTAGTATAATACTTATTCTTTTCTATCTAATGAGGTGAACCCTTTAGGTGAGGGAAACCAATTGGTGCAAGTAAAATTTCAAATATGCTATCAAAGCCATGATTTTAAGTTCTGTCTTGTTAGTTGAGATCATCTTTAGCAAACCAAGAATGCTCGTTTGAGAGATCGTCGATTACCAAATCACTGCATCTTGCTGATTTGCAAAGGATGCGTTTCCTAATTAGTACCAATTATAATATGAAATTGCTAGTTACACCACAGAAGATCACTCCATAAAAGATTCTTTCTCTAGATTTTAAAACTTATATTTTGAATTAGTTTACATGATTTATGTAAAGGTATGTATGGAATAGCTTTCAATAGTTCATGATGTCCAAGAATAAAGCAATAGCTTTAGAGAACTACTTCGCTATGAGGGAAGTCTTCCTACAAATTATCTCTCAACAGCATAAAATAAATGATAGTGCAGCTGAGTATGCAACCCACATGAAAGGCAAACGATATGAAACATGTAAGAAGCTGTAGTTCTAAGGGCTACAAAAAATTGATATCAACAACGAAAAAAAATTTCAACTATTGTAATAAACTTGAGGAAATTATTAAAAAATGTCATACTCAATCTTAGAATCAACAAACAAATTTTAAAAAAGCAACAGTTGCTGATCATGCTGTTGGTTTAGCAAATATGGATAGATCATGTCTTACTCATGAAATGGTTAAGTAAATGATCATTAAAGTCCCATCTTCCTTAAGGCTAGAAGGTATGAATGTACTATCTCATTTATCTTGGCTCGTAATTCTGGCGCATCCAATCATATGACCGGTACCTCAGATCTTCTTCATAATATTCGACCATATATCAACAATTGAGATTAGTAATTATAGTTAATTATCCATTAAAACTATTAAGGATATTAATTATGTCATGAAATATGTCCTTCATCACCAATACTTTCTAATAATCTGATCTCAGTAAAAAAAAAGATTGATAAGTATTATATTCAATTTTATTGGGATGATTGCATTTTATAGGATCAGGTGATGGAGAAAATCTAATGAAGAGGATGAAAATTGGATGACTATTTCCCTTTCATCTAGGAATGTTTCATTGCCTTGTATTATAGTAAATCAAAATAACAACCCATATCACAAATGATTAGGTTTTATCCAAATTATACTGCTTTATCTCATTAAATAAACAATGGTTTGTTGGGTAACAAAAATAGATTTTCTTGACAAATTTTTTTTTACTACTCAACATACAAAATTGGTAAAAGCTAGAGCCTTCCTATTCCATCCCATGATAGTTAAAAAACCACAAAAATCACATGATAGTTGTGCTGAAAACTGTTTTAACTTAATTAACAGTGATATATGTGATATTACTCCCGTTATATTGCAAGGAAATTATTAGTACTTTGAAACATTCATTGAATATTACAATGAATATACTTGGATTTATTTTCTTCATAAAAAATCTAAACATTCATTATCTTTCAGAATATTACAGTTATAGCCTATGTTGAAACTCAATTTAGTCCTACATCAAAGTATTAAGATCTGACTTCAAGGGTGAATATATGTCACTTGAATTTCATGATGTTTTTTCAAAAAAGAGGAATTTCTTCTTAGCGATCATGTCCCCATAAACCTCAACAAAATTATGTTGTTCAACGTAGAAATCACCACCTCCTATTTATTTTGGGGTTTAGTGCTAAATTATTCAGTTCTACCTAAGTTTTAGGTTGAGCATTGAGTAAGACAATTTCTTTAATTAATAAATTATCTTTTCGTGCCTTGGAGTTTGACTCTCCTTATTATAATCTCTTTCATAAGCATCCAACTTAACATTATATGCATGCATTTGATTGTGTGTGCTTTGTTCTTCTATTAGCCCATGAACTTCATAAACTCTTTGTTGGGTTTATTGAATGTGCATTTATGGGTTATGACGCTTCGAGCGAAGGCTAAATGTTTTATGATCTATGCTCCAAAATATTTGGCCCCTTCGAGCCTTTGCTAGAGATGCATGTTATTCCTAATTTTGATGAATTAAATTCTAGTCCTAAAAGATTCAAATCAAGAAAATATTCAATTTTATCACTTTCGGTGTCAAACTTACCCTTTGAGCTTGTGCAAATTGATCCGCCACTTGAGCCTGCTAACTAGAATTCAGTCAATGCACCTAAACAGTCTTCCAAAACCTCTAATTCTTCAAATTATGGTTTTCACACGACGTTGGCTTTGATTCCCATTCCTTTATGTTACTCAAAGGTCAATAAAGATGATGGTTGGAAGGATGCTATCGCTAAAGAACTTCGATCTCTCTAAGAAAATTATACATGAAATATAGCTCAATGCCCTTAAAATGTTAAAGTTGAAAATGGTTTTTACCCGATAAAGCATTACGCTGATGGCAGTTCGGATCACTATCAGGCACGTTTAGTTGTCCTTTGAAACAAACTAGAATATAACTTGATTGTGAAGAAATTTTTGTTCTTGTAGCCAAAATAACTATAATACAAATGATTTTCTCAATTGGTATTTTATAAGGATGGCCAATCTAGAAAATAGATGTTAAAAATACATATCTTCGTGGGGATCTCATCTAGATGTAAATAATTCTTTCATATGGCATTTTTTCCTTTTCTCATTTAGACGCATGCAAGTTAAAGTGCTCCTTATATGATTTCAAACAATCCCCCTATGCATGGTTGAACAAATTTCACTCAACCCTATTTCATGTATCATTTGAACAAAACTAATACAAATCATCATAAAAAAAATTAATATAAATCATCATTATTCTTTGTAATGCATTAGTGTTATTGCTCTTCTCCTCATTTATGTTAAGGACATTGTTGACCTCCACACATCTGCCAAATCAGCGCGAGTAAAGGGGCTGAAATTGGCCAACTTGAATGACAATCGGCGAGCACAATGCATCACTTGAATGGTCAAATGACCTCCAATCGCCAAATGAACTGTGTTGTTGTGATCGAAGTGTCGAATCTACGTAAGAGGGATCACCTCGCAGTCAAACCGAGCAAGAATAGTCAAAACCGACGACCGAAATCCGAAATTGACACATGACGCTACTCAAATGACATACGATCGCAAAACAGACTTCTCCGTTGTATTCAAAACATATGAGTCACCCACAATCGAGTATAGTTAGGGCTAATGAAGTTTGCGCGGGGAAATCAACACGAATCCCAAGACAACTGCACGCAAATTAAGGCAAAAAAATAATAATAAAAATCTTATTCTCTGCTTCAAATCCCGCTCTCGCTCTCTTTCCTCTGTTCGACTCCCAACAGCAGCCCTTCCGATCCTCCCTCACAGCTCCGACTTGTACCAGCAATCGAAGAAGTCAACTCCTAGATCTCGCCGCACGTCCGACTCAAATCCCCTCAACCTCTGATTCATCCCCTACAAACGAATCTCTTGTAGGTTTCCAACTTCGCATCCTGACTGGACCCATTTCGATCACACGAGATCCTATCCAATCACACCAGTCAAAGCTTCCTCCTCGCAACCATCCGCCTCCTCTTGCTATTTGAATTACTCCACACTCCTGAATCCCACGATCCTGCCGCTATTCGCCACTCATAACTCTATCAAGCCGACTGATCCAAGTTCTTATCCGATCAAACTCAACGCCCAACCAACCTTACCGATCCCAGAACCCGTTTCCCCCCGCTCGTCAAACTCCTCTTCATAGCTAACACTCTCCCTCATTCCCCTTTCAATCTCACGCGAGCTTCCAATCCCGATCCGGACCAGCCGACCTTCTAAAATTATACTCCATGTATTCGGTTTTAGATATACTTAAACGAAAACCTTTAGCTCTAAGGTTGACCTCCGTAATTCAAGTTTACCTTCAACTCCCTCTTTAGTCTTATAAACAAGAAGAATATCATCAGCAAAAAGCATACACCAGGGAACATCCTCTTGTAAATCTCTAATAAGAACATCCATGACTAAAGCAAAAAAAATATGGGCTTAAGGCCGATCTTTGATGTAATCCATCTGAAATTGGAAAATACTTGGTGAAACCACCTTGTATTTGAACAGAAGTAACAACTCCAACATACATATCCCTAATGACTTGAATATAAGCATTATTAAATCTACCTGGCATGAATACAAATTGTGATGTAGAACTACATGCAAAGATCGGAAATTTGCACAAAATAAATTAAGAACAATTTCAGATTTTCGTTAAGTGTTTAAAACAACAACGTAAAACTCATAAATGGTCAATCCCGATTAGGCCAAGCGACACAAGAGACTAAACCACATCAAAACACTTAGAAGAATTAAAACAATGCATAAGTAGTAGTTTGCAACTTAACCAAATTATAACAATGAGGTCTAAGAGCAAAGAAGTAACAATTCCTATGAATACTAATGGATGTCAATAAGTAGGCACAATCTCTTGCTTTGAACAAATTCTCTCAAAGAAATTAGAATTTGAATGTAAATAAGTCAAGGAAGAAAATCACCTTCTCGGAGAGACGACGTAGATCACCACGTACCTTCCAATAGTTGTTCCTTCAACGGCTATTACGGGAGGATGGAATTTCAAGAGATCCGTCAAGGATTTGAATCACTCCGACGAAGGGAAGTTGAGAAGATCCACGAATCTTTGACCATCGGATGTGAAGTTGGAATCAAGCTTCGGATCGATCATACACCTCAACTCAACAAGGAGAAACACCTTAAGAAGGGGAAGGGGCGAGAGAGAGAGAGAGGAGGTGGACGGTGGGGGAGGGAGGCCGGCGGTTTGTAAAAGGGGAAAACGGCTAGGGTTGGGAAGGGGTTAGGTTTGGGTGGACAAGAAATTGTTTTAACAAACAAATTTGAAATTATTTTCAGATTTGAGTAAGATTGGAGGGAAAATAAATGGATTTAAAATTTGAATATCTTGCAATTAATCCCCTTCATGGAGCATTAAAGGAGAGGGACCCATTAATGGAGGCCGGCGGCAAGGAGAGAGGGATTGGGGGTTTTGGGAAGAGGAGTTATGCGTTTCCTAATCCGCTCCGCTTAATAAATGAGGAAAATTTCAAATCCGCTCAAATTCAAATTTGAAATTTGAAATCGCATGAAAACTTTTCAAATTTGGCATCGGACAAAAATGGAAACTTTCACTTTGAATTTCAAAATCTGAAATTCATGGAGGGGCCGGTGATGGGTGGAAGGGAGGGGCGGTGGAAAAAGGGGAGGTCGGCGGTCAAGATGGTGGCCGGCGGGATGATGGGGAGGTGGGGGTTTTGAGAAAGTGGTGTTGTTGAGTTTGGATGGGTGGGGTTATGAGGAGGTGGTTGGTGGTGGATGATGGTCGGAGGTGGGTGTTGGGTAGATGGAAAGGAAGAAAACAAAAGAAAACCAAGAGCCACCGGAGGTGACTGTTGGGTACGACGGGTGGCCTCTCCTAGGCTCCACCAAACTCTCAACTCTCAAGCTCCACACAAAAGCTTCAAGAAGACAAAATGCAAGAAATTTCTTTTAATCATTCATTAACCATCAAAAGTACATGATGAAGGCTATAAATAGCCTAATACAATGACATAAAATAAAAGACTAAAATACCCTCGAGGGGCTACAAGACTCAATCCCTCAAGCAAGGGTAAAAAGGGAAAAAAATGCAGAAATAAAAATACATCAAAATAAAATGACCATACTAAAATCAGAAATACATCGGGTAAATCGTGGCCGTAGATCTACGGCCACGTCGACGATAGACTTTCCAACTGATGTCCCCATCAAATTGATTTTGAGAAACAATAGTATCACGCGTAGCCTATGCTCCATAACTCTCTCCCATAGTTTTAAACTATGACACATCAACTTAATTCCTCTATAATTTGCAAAATCTTGTTCATCACCTTTATTCTTAAAGATAGGAATCAACACACTCATTCTCCACACATTTGACATCTTTTTGGTCTTCAAAATAATATTAAAAATTTTAGTAAGCCAAGAAATTTCTTCTATCTCCTTTATCTCCTAAGCCAAGAAAACTGCACGCTAAAACTGAGTTTTGAAAATGTGATATCATGGCTCCAATAAACTAAGACCTATCACACTGACTTGATTTCTAAAGATATTGGCACGTAATTATGTTAAAACTCGATTTATGCACTAAAAAGTCAAATAAAAAAGGGGTTAACTTGCTGACCTCTTCACCTTTAATCACAAAAAAAGACCAAATTTCAAATCTTTGATTCACTTTCAAATATTTGAGGCGTGGTTATACCATATCAAACTATGCATGGACACTAAAAAACATATGAGGGAGAAAGAGTATCTTACTGGAGAACATGAGACGCCATGAGAAGCTCTGGCTCGCCTCCCCAGACATGTGGCTGTCTAATTTGAGTGACATAATCATCAAAGCTCCCCTCAATAAACCTGATGATTAAACATTTAAGACTCACAGCCAATATGACTTTTACCTTACATATAGGCAATATGTCAAACTAAGAATCAAGCTCATTAATGACCCATGCCATCGAGCAGTCCTAAGAAAGAATTTGTACTGACATAAACAGATGCAAAAGTGGCACATTTGAAGGAAAAAAAAAAAAAACTTTACCATTCTGTCTCTTCTCGTCTCTTGATAAATTCATCAGCAATCTGGTCAATTGTAAGACTAACTATTGTTATCAGAATAAAACTATTATCTAAACAGCATTGTTAGACTATTAACATTGAATATAGCATTCGCTTTAAAGCATAGTTCGGTATCAAAATTTCAACAAGAAGCTAGACATACCAAGGTCCTCAATTCATCAGCTAATTCTCGCTGCAGGGTCTCATTAGGTATGGATTTTCCTGCCCGGATGCACGCCCCATGGACCACAGAGCGAAACAGGCATCTACCGTCTCCTGGTATGCCTGATAAAAGCATTGAGTCAGGATAAAACACAAGAAACTGAATGGATTCTAAAACTTACTAGTTGAAATAACTTAAAAGAAAAGCGCTTGCAATAAGTATTTACTAACCAGTTATGGAGTAATCAGTGTACACTTTCTTTCCAGGAGAAGTTCTCTTAGATGAGGATTTATCCCAACCATTTTCAGAAGCTTGTGCATTTACCACTCCAGAAGATGAAAAACTTAAGCATAGTCCAAAGGAGACACCTGCTGCTAATGAGGAATGCCTTGCATTCCAACTGATTTTAGGAATTTTCTGAAAACTGGGCATGGGAAGCCTCAAGCTCATACTTTGATGGCTTGATGTTAATCCTAAATGCAAGTCACGTCTAAGTGAGCATACAAAAGCAGCCAAGTTAAGCGGATGGAGACCTCCAATTTGTTTGGTGAAGGATAGAGCAAAATTAGGAGACTTAGATTCTCGAAATCCATTCGATGGGGAAAGAAAATACTTCCTTAGGGTCAAGTCCATGTGTTTATGGTGGAAATGGCTTAAATGTATGTATAAACTAGAGGAGCTGCATCTCGGTATAGACATTGAAGGAATGAATCCAAATATCTGCTTCACTAAACATAAATCAGGCACAACAATTCTATAATTTGGGCATAAAAATGAGTTTTCCTTCTCTCCGATTAAATTGAAGCTAATTAAACATCTCCCCAACAGCCATACATTCGTCACCAACTCGTATATCGCTGTTCAGTAAAGTTTTATTGTAAGGTGCATATTGCTATGAGCAGCAATACCATTGTGCGGACGGAGCTCTCAACTGCACAGAACAAGTAATTGTTACGCTTTAGACAGCATCGTCTTTATCATAAATATCACACATGCATTATCTATTGTGATGACTTAACAAATACTCAATCAAGCATATGCAAAGAATCAAATGCATGAATAAAAACAATAATATTAATCATTCATACAAATCTACCTAAGGAACACATGTGAAAAACCTCGGTATTGCAAAGAAAAAATCAGCCATGGAAGTTATTTTGATTGTATGAATCCATGATGGATGTATAGCTCTAAGGGAATAATTCATAACCATTGTGATGGGGAGCATCTTAGGGTATAAGATTCCCTAACGTAAATCTAGAATAAGTTACACAAAATCACACACTTACGAATCCGGAACTCAAATTTTTTTTTTTAACTCAATCTTTTGATTCTAGAAGCCATATTGACAGGAACCGAAGGATCCAAAACATAAGAAGCTGCCAATAGTAAGACAAATCCTATAACAAACCGCAACTGTAAGGAAGTCGTTAATAGCAAGTTAAGGAGGTCCTGGAAGGCAACCAGATAAAAAAAGTCACACGACGGAGATGCAATTCACATTTTGCCATAGAAGTGAAGCATCGCAACAAAAGATCTTATGTTTTGGTTGGTACTTGAGGTGCTAAATCAATCGAGCAAGGACTTAACATCACAACTCTATCAGGTAGGGCACATTACCATTCCTTTGAGGTTAGTTTTGACACTCTCGTCAATCACTATTTATGATTTTGATATAATGCATTTCGGCAAATGAGATTGCTCATGGAATGCGTCCTCCTCAATTTGAAGTGACAAAGGTCAACATTGATTGCAAATTGGTAATCACATTAGCAAAAAATCCAATCCATCAGGCAAAGAGCAAGCACATCCACATTCAATATCATTTCTTTCGAGAGTGCATGTGAAAGAAAGAAAGTGGAGTTTATCTACGTGAAGCAAATAGTAAATATCTTCACCAATCACTTGCGGCATATCTTTTTCATAAGTTCGTCTTTTCTAGAAATAAAGGTTGGTAAACAATTAAGTTTAGGGGGGGGGAGAAGGGGAGGATGTTCAAAAATTAAATTCAACTTAATGGTAATATAAGAATTATATGTTGGGAATTAGATGAGAAGTAATTCAATTACCGATGGAAAAAAAAATAATATAAAATAGAAACAAGATAATACACAAAATACACCAATATTTTTATACAAGTTCAACCAATTGATAGAATCTTGATGACAAAATTACAAATTTCACTATGATTTTGATTATGGAGTTTTTATAAGTCCTAATATCTCATATTTGAGTTTATTAGGAATTCTTTGCAGAGCAAAAGTCTAGGTACATAACGCATTCTAAGCATCATGTTTAATTTATGAATGTATTAAAGATAAATCATATCTATATGGAGTATAAAAAGAGTTATGAGCATACTAAAAGTCAATATCGATTTTGAAATTTGACCCTTAAATATTTATATCATAAGTCCTCATTTAAAATTGCATTGTATCTAGAAGTTTTCATGAAGCCTCTATATCTCCATTAATCATTTCTGAATGACAAGGCAAGTTATTTGAACCTAAAACTCCTCCAAATTAGATTTTTATTTCCTTGTTGAATTTCTTGTTAGTCATTCTATTTTTCTTAATTTATATCAAGTATAAATATATCAAATGAACTTCTAGGATAATTACTGATAGCATTTCAACTAATTGCAATCTATATATGGAAAAAACATGTATGTACATTCATTTCTATCTGTGAATGTGATTGATTAATCTTGTGTTTGCTGTGTGTATTAGAAGAGGTGAATGAGAGCAGTTGCAACAGTACATAATAGGTAAGCAGACTAAAAGATTTATATGTACTTCTATAAATCTGTGTCTTTATACATGTTAACTATAGATATGCATGCAATATATGCATGTTCAAACATCAACATTTTCCTCCAAAACATGGGAAATTATCCATTAATTAGTAATATGACGATGCAATAGAATTGCCCATAGCTAAGTTCGATATCCAAAAGCTCATTTGTAAAGTTGAAAGGATGCAAACTGCCACCCTAAGCCCCCTTTTTCCTCCCATCTAATGCACAAATGATTTCAATATTAAAACGCATTGTAAGGAGAAATTATTAGGTTTTGAACTAAATAAAAGCCGCATATAACAATTTGTCATTTGCAAGGCTGCCTCCCAATGGAAGCTTTCCACCAAGATTTCCACAGTAAACATAAAGGGCTTCATCTTTTCAGATCCTTAAGTTAAATCAAACTTTTATAAAGTTGGAGGCATAACCACAGTATAATTGCAACAACAAAAGTGAAGTAAAGATCAAGAGAACACAATCACCACATACTACCTATGGTCATTTGGTTCAATGTTACATAAGTAGCATTAGCACATCGATAATACCACAATCTATCAAATGCAATGTGTTTGATAGTATGGGACCTCACTTAAAACAACATAGTATTATTAATAATAATCAACTATGATTATGATCTTTCTTCTATAATCATTTATTATAACAAATGAAAATTTTTTGGGTAATGATATCCTTATGAAAATTTGGTCAAAATATGTTTTATTATTATTATGTTTGCTATGATGAGTGAAAAATTTTGATTAGCTGTGCATTGTATTTATTTCAAAGCAAATCAAATGGCAATAATACTCATCATGATCAAATTTGGTTAGGGTATTCTGAAGCAAAATGATCTAAAATGCTGATTCTCACCAAATTCTGAAAAGCAACAACAAAGTTCGAGCTAAACAAAGCGTGCCAACTATATGTAAAACAAAATAGTGAAATAGTTGCCCCAAACGAACACTAAATGCTCATAAATTTGACCGATGCATAGAGTTTTATATGTCATTCACGCTATTGCTGTCTAAAAATATCCCCAAATCAACGAATCAAACAGGTTATATATATAATATATTAATAGAACAACATTTAATCAAACTGGCCTGTACAAAACTAAGTATAAATGCAATTACCAGACAACAAAAGGAGATCGAAATGTTTGTTACTTCACAAGAAATAACTACGGCACCCGAGCAAAACAGCCATTAAAGAGCAAACAAATAGTAACTAGAAAGAGAAACCAAAGCATCCTAAGAAGATAAAAGGGGTGTTTTCTTCGAATAGGAAGAAGGCGCTATGGGAAGGACAAGGATACCTTAAACAGACAATCTCAGCGAAGAATTACAGCGAAAACAGTTATGGAATCCAACTTGGAGGAAGAAATCCCGCTTGGCGCAGAGTTCGCTTGCCGCGCCACCGAATAGAAAGGCCGGGATTTTTCGTTTAATTATTTTCGTTGAGATGGTGAAACCTTCTCTTTCTATATGGAACTTCTATATGTGGATGATTCGAATTAAGGCAATTTTTTAAACGAGCGGATTTTAGGGGAGTTTTAGCAAGAGAAGTACGAATACCATAAAATTTTAAAGGGAGTTTTACATATACATCACTTTATTTTATGTTATTTACATATCTAATATTTAAAATATTAATATTACATGACTACCACTCATAGAATAAATTTGAGTGCATTGAATGAAATATTAAAGTTTATAGAATTATATGAATGATATAAATGAATTATATGACTGATATATTTAATACATAGCTAACTCTATATAAATTAAAAAAAAAAAGTTAACAAGTGCATGCACATTATTGTTACATATGTTTTAATAGATATCGACACGAGTTTGGAGTTGTGTTTGTATAGAGAAGCTATATATACATTAATAAAAATTGAGTATAATTTTTCATTTTTATTTAAATTTATTGGATGTGTAGTTCTACTTTCAATTATATATTAAAAATTGTAATTTACTATTACAATTATTATTTTATTGAAAATTTAACATTTACAATTTCAAGAAATTTATATATGTTTACAATTTCTTCAATAAAATTTAAAATGTTAGTACTGGCTTTTAAAATGTATAAATACATTTACATTTCCTAAATAATGAAATTTCAAATTTAAATGTTATTTATTTTCTTTAGAGCTACGTAATAAGGCTAATTTTTAGGTTATAATGTTAAATAATAAAGCTAGCTTTAAGATTGTAGCGCTAAGGAATTAATTTATAAATTTTATACTTTTTATGATTGGGTATGACATAAATTCAGGATTTCTTGCGGGGACTAAGGCATAATAAAATTTAATTATAACAAAATCATTTAAAATACTTTTGATTGAATTTTTTTTGCAAATAAAACTATTTTGTATTACCACTAATCAAACAAATAAATTGCATATAATAGTTAATGTATTATCAATTAATTTGTTAATTCGTTTTTTAGAAATATAAGTCATAAATTCTATGAAAGTATATTTCCATAAACTTTATAAAATTTTGGTATCAATTTACTGTCATATTGGTATTAAAAAATAATAAAATAAATTATAGTTGTTGCGTGCTAGAATATACATGGCGGTAGAGTTTGGAAATTTACGCCCTAGAGTTGTATGAGTATTCAACACACAAGCAGAGAAGTGAACATCAGGATTTTTACGTGGAAAACCCAAAAGAGGGAAAAACCAGGGGGCCTTGCCCAGTTGCAAAGTTTCACTAGAATTTGTTTGAAGTACAAAGGTTGATCCGTCTTACAACTCAAGACGATCAATTTACAATTAACTTCTCACAAAGTTACAAAATTCTGCAAATTCCTGACGTTTTCCGAAAATCCGGCAGAGTTCCGGCGTCTTCAGGCGGCAGGAAGAGCTCCGACGATGGTCGAGGAGGAGCTTCTTCTTTCTCTTCCTTCTCTTCTTCTTCCATTCTTCTTCTCTCTCTTCACTTGAGTCCCATTTGTGTAGAATAAGAGCTCTATTTATAATTTTTCTGGAGTGGCATAGTCCGTAAATAGGCGTGAGATCAAGGGTGAATTGGGAGTGTTTTGAATGGACGGCCGATATCGAATCCTTTGATCATGCACCTTTCGTTGGGATTTTGAAGGCCTTAATGATGTCAGAATTCGACGATCTTAGGCTCTTTGGATTCGTCTCGTCGAGCCGTTCGATTCGAGTATAAGCTTGTCAAAATCAGAGGCCGTTTGGTAACTCAAATTGTGGTTTGAACCTTCCAAGAGCGCTTTGGGTCCTTGATTCGGACTTATTTGGGTCGGATTGGGTTGATCTTGGTGTCTTTGGGTTCGTCTTTCCGAGACACTCAGTTTGACTATAAGCTTGCTGAAATCGGAGTTCGGGTGTTCCCGGAATTAATTTTTAAAGTTTCCGACTAGCTTTTGCCTCGAGATTCGTGCCCGATCAAGCTAATTTTGACACCGTATCAATAGTAATTTAGAAAATTAAGAATACAAACTCTTTTAAAGTAAATGTAAAAAAAAATAGTTTACCAATTTCATCAACAAATTTAATGAAAATAAGAAAATATTTAAAAAATAATTATATACTATTTCTCAAATCTAATTTTAATAATTAATTAGTTAAAATATTGGAATAATCTAAGATATATTCCAAAAAATTTAACTGTGAAAATAAAATTTTTTAATGCCTAAAATTATTTCTTTTACAAATAATACCAATTCCACTAATATATAATTAACAATACTAGTTTAAGCTGTTGGGGAGATGTCTCTTTGAAGTTGTGATCTAAAGCTTCACCATGGGGTAAAAGCTAGAGAAATTAGACACGCAATAAGCTACAAAAATTTAAAGCTTTTTAGTACCTTTTTTCATTCAAAACGGGTATACCATATTTAAATTTTTTAATAAATTGTTGTCACTAAATCTATATATGTTGCGGACTATAATATATATGGCGGTGGAGTTAGAAAATTTTCGTCTGAGCGTTGTACAAATATCTAGCACACAAACATAGGAGAAATAATAACACCAGGATTTTTATATGGAAAACTCTGAAAGAGGAAAAACCACGGGGCCAAGCCCAGTTGAAAGATTTCCACTAGTGTTTGCTTGAAATACAAGACGCTGACTCATCCTTAACATATAAGAACATCATATTTGGAAACCGTTTGGTAACTATAATAATGATTTGAACTTTCCAACAGTGCTTCGGGTGGTTGATTTGAACTCATTTGGGCTCGGACTGAGTCGAATTTGGTGTTGTTGGGTTCGTATTTCCGAGATGCTCAGTTTGACTGTAAGTTTGCTGAAATCGGAGTTTAGGTGATCCCGAATTTAATTTTTGAAGTTTCCGGCTTGATTTTGCCTCGAGATTCGTGCCAGATCAAGATAACTTTTTGAGGATATATCAATATATAAAATATAAATTTAAATATCAATGCGTGCAGCTAAAAAAATATAAGAAAATGAGGATCCAATTGGAGAATCAATTTAAGATTTGCAAGCAAGTTGCTTATTATGTTCAAGGTTATTTTTGTGTTTTTGAATAATGTACAAGATTTAAGTTTTGTAGCTGAAATTATTTACCTCTTGACTGTCGTGTTATCATTTTTTTTTCTTGCATTAAAGATCTTAACAATAAATTAGAGATGAATTAAACTAAATTTCACCAAAAATAGAATATGAAGGTTTATATGTAACTTTAGAGGTTGAGGAATGTTACAAATGTTCTACTGCACGTGTTTACAATCCTTAAAAAAATATTCATTATCACCTTCTCCACAGGCTATCACCTACTCAAAATTCATTTATAGTTCATATTGATCAAGTTAATTGCTGATGATATTCTTGTTGATAGGACTAGAGAGGGAGTTGAAGGTAAACTTGAATTATGGAGGTCAACCTTAGATTGAGTCTAAAGGTTTTCGTTTAAGTAGATCTAAAACGGAATATATGAAGTGTAATTTTAGTAGTAATGGACCTAGAGAGGGGATTGTAACTTTGGTCGATTAAGTCATTATTAATAAGAGTACACGTTTTACATATCTTGGATTTATTGTTCAGAGTGATGGTGAAATAGATGGGGATATTATCAGCAGAATTCAAATTGGATGCTTGAAGTGGAGGAATGCACCGGGCTTATTATGTGATAGAAATGTACATCTCAAACTTAATGAAAAATTCTATAAGATGGTAGTGAGGCCTGCAATGCTTTATGGTGCCGAATGTTGGCCATTAAAAGAGAAGCATAATACTAAGTTAAGTGTGGCAGAGATGAGGATGCTCAGGTGGATAAGTGGCTTTACCCTTAGAGATAGCATATGAAATGAGCATATACGTGAAAAGGTTGGAGTAGCTCTAGTATAAGATAAGATTAGAGAGAGTTGCCTCAGATGGTTTGGTCACATAAAAAGGCGGCCTTCCAATAACCGGGTTATCTAGTTTTTAGAATACTCTTTTAGTTTTATAAATATGAGTGCATTGTAGTAGGAAAGGGAGATTGAATGATATTATCTCCATTAGAAATCTTTGAAAGCTTCTTGTTCTTCTTCCCTGTATTGCGAAAATCCTAAAATCCTTCTTGCAGGTATCATCTTTCGACGATCCACTACATCAAAAGCAATCTCAAACGTAGCCTTAAACCTTCCCCAACTCACTATAGCCCACTTTGGTCAAACTAATTTAGGCTTCATTTGGGGCGGCTTTTTTATTGCTTCTTAAAGCAGCTTTTTAGTACAAAAATTAAAAATTTTGCATTAGAAAGCTACTTTATGAAGCAGTAAGAAAGCCGTCCCAAACGAAGCCTAAGTTAGCATAATACAATGTTGACTAAAGTTTGACCTATAGACACCTTGGCCTATTTGTGCTCCACACGGCCCATTCTAAATAATCTGAACTCTCCTTTATTCATAATCTAATCAGACCCATGATAACTAGGCATTATCCATAGGTTGAACCATTAATTACCCAAACTGTCCTAGTATAACTTTTTGAATGCAATTGGGTTAATTGAGCTAAAATTTATATTTGAATTCTCTTAGATTTGATTCTTAGTGGTCGGAGGAGCCCTAATTTCTCAAGTTGATGCAAATCATACTTTTTTGGACCTATTTGACCAAATTAAGGGTAATTAGGACCACTAAAATCATATTAACACGTAAACCTTTGGAATTCTTTTTTATTAGGCATAGAAGTCTAAGGTTTCATTTGTGATAGCTTTTGGTCACTGCTTTTTCATTGCTTTCAAGAAATTTTTGTACTAAAAAGATGCTTTAGAAAGCAAAAAAACTGTCCCAAACAAAAACTAAATTAAGTCTCACTTGGGTTAGTTGGTGCACCTTGCCTAAGTGAACCCAAGTTAACCCATTTGAAACATATCATAGATCAATTAACAATACCACTAAACTTTTCAATAGTATAATAACTTAAAATAGTAAAAAAACTTACTATTTTTTTTTAAATTGTCAGTAATAATTTTTCTAAATAAAATTTCTAAATAATTCAGAATACTTAACATCACCACTAATAAATATTTGTAGCTAAATTGTATAAATCCTAGCTAACTATCATTTCTAAATACTTTTTAGTTCACTCAAAATACTCAAGATCATCACTAAAATTTATTTCTAACCTTTTTTTTTAATCAACACTAACTATTATTTCTAATCAGTTTTTTAATTCATTTAAGTTCCTAACATATATCAGTCATCACCACTAATAAAATTTTCTAAATAATTTTGTAAAATTACCACTAACAAATTTTAATAAAAAATTTAAAACACTAATATTATCACCAACACTGTTTTCAAATAAAACTTATTTAACATATTTTAATTTAAGTAACATACAACAAAAGCAAAAAAATAAAAATAAAATAAAATTATATATATATATATCTAAAATAAGAAAAATCATTAAAAAATACAATAAAAATTAAGTAAATTAATAGATTTTAAAAAATTAATCTAATTATTTGACAAGAGAAAATGAAAAGTAAATATTAGAACGAGAAAAGAGGACAAGGGTGGGCAATGTTATTCAATAAATAAAATTATTCTAAAAATTATCTTTAAAACATCATAGACAAAAATCTCATCTTAAAAAAAAAAAAAATTCTAATGAATTAAGGTGCCACTGATCTTACCAATGAAATATTGTGTTGGTAATGTTATATATATAATATTCTAAATTGCGTGCAGCCCAAAAACAAAAGGGAATAAACATATCTAAGAGAAAAAAAGGGTTACAGCGTTTAATACATTTTTATTTCAGATCAAATGTGTAAAATAAACGATGAAACAGATAATTATTTGTTAAAAAATACAATATATTTATATAATAATTATGACATTAATCAAACTAATATAAACGATGAGGAGCTAACTCCTGACGCATTTATTTTTCCCAGCAAGTATCTGCTTGCCAAATTTCTAAGGCTGAAAGGCTGTTACATAATTACTGTACGTGGAGATAATTAGGCTTTGAACATAATTATGTTAAGTATCCATACATAGCTAATTAGCTATAGTTCAGAACTACGAGTCGCACATATTTAATCACGTCTCTTAATTAATTAATCTCCTCCTCCTCATCCTCATCAAAACAATGTACTCCACAAGCAGCATGGCCATCACGACCAAAAGCCTTCACATGATCCTTCAGAGATCTCTTATGCTTAAAATCAGATCCACAAGTACAGTACCAAAGCTTCCCACAGTTCTTCTCATGGGTTCTCCAATCTCCTCTAACTGCGAAGGCCTTGCTGCACTTGCGGCACATAAAGGGCTTCAACCCATGCTTTCTTTTGTAGTGTGTTTGGAGAGTTCTGAAGTCCTTCAATGGCTTAGCTCGAGGATGATCTATATTGTTTCTGCAGCCTGGAGAGCAGCAGTAGCATGGAAGCTTCAACATTGCTGTGGGTTGGATTCCACGAAGGGATTGTCTGCCAGTTCTGTATTGTGAACCGTGACCCCACATGTGCATCTGTTGATATGATTTACAGGCAAAAATATATGTTTTTAGACAATTTATGTTGTGTATTTATTGGCTTTGTCAGGGTGATGTGAAGTCAATGAGCAAAATATGAAGCCATAAAAAATACTGTGCAAGATAACAAAGAATGATTCATATATATATGCATACAGCATGTACAATTAATATATTTCTAACGTGTAAATTTTGTTTGTGATGACTTTCTTTTTTATTCTTAAAGCAGTGTTTTAGTATCAAAATTTTAATTTTTTATCTAAAAATTTATTTTAAGAAGCAATAAGAAAGTCATCACAAACGAAGCCTGAGATTGTGTTGTTTCTATTCCTTCGGGTTCTCAATGACTTCCTTTTGGTGCATCTAGCTTTGTGGATTGTGTTATGGTCTTCTGTTTTGATGCCTATTACTCCCTATGTGGATCTCCTTCAAGTCCTCTCAAGATCCAAGAGATCATTTATTGAAAAGCCTCCTAAAGATTTCATTTCGATTGTCATTAAAACTATCTTAAATTTATGCTATTTTTCTTGCTAATGCGGAGATATATATACATCATTTAACTATACTTTTTATGTTTACAACTGTGAAACCCTTTAAACAAATTAAGCTAAACTACTCTTAAACATCAACGCAACTTTTGATATAATGATTGAAATTTCATTAAGAAACTTAAGTTTACAAATGTGAAACCCTTAAGTAAAAGAAGCTAACTTTTAAATATTAAAACATCTTTTGGTATAATGGTTGGAATTTCATTAAGAAACTAAAAAAACGTGCTCATTCTAGATAAATTTAGTGGATCGGAGACCTACTGTGAGGTTACACCAATATGACAAATTAAACCATGAGGCTCTTAAGTCAAAACATACAATATCTCGATAGTTAAAAGTTTGAATTGTTACAACAAATGTTGTTAAATTTTTTTGGTTATCTCCCAATGGAGGAGATTCAAAAGCCTTTACAAAGGATTACTTAAAAAATAATTTTCTGTAAGGTTATTTCTCATTAGACATATTGTATCAATGATTCTTTCATTTGTTTATTTAAATTGCCTCCTTTCAGTGTTAAAGTGGAATGAAGTGCTGCCTAAGTTTAGGTTTTTTATTGCATCTCAAAAATTTTTTTGGTTACCAATGATATCTTTTTTTTCTTTTGCTCCTATCTTTGATAGATAATCCTCTGATAATTGATAATGCTATGCTACTTTATCTCTTCCTTCAACTGCTCGTGTTTTGATGCAAGTAGATTTTATCTTAAGCTTGTTATAGAGATTTTAATTGACTACGAGCAAAATGCATGGTTATTAAAAATCGTTTGTATCTTGAAAACTAGCTATCCTTTTGCCCATTATAATGTTGTGGATCATGATATTTCTTTTTATTTTGGTCATCATGTTTCTTTTTTATTGATGTTGATAAATGGGCATTGTGTATACAATTGTTGATCTTATGGACCTCTCTCTGGCGGACGTATAAAGGATAAGATAGATTTAGGCTTCGTTTTGGATGACTTTTTTATTGCTTCGTAAAACAGCTTTTTAGTTTAAAAAATAAAATTTTTATACTACAAAAATCTATTTTAAGAAGCAGTATGTAAGAAAACTGTCCCAAATGAAGCCTGAGTAATCTCTTGGTCATAGGCTCAAAGCTTGGTGTCCTATTTTTGGTTTTGGCTAACCTTATGGTAATGTCATTATTGCAGATAGTTCTATTGGGATAACTATTCCTTCTACTTCATCGCATTGGCTTGACAAAAAATCTTGGAGGAGATGATCCCATTGCTGATGCGTTAGCAGTGGAATTGTTGTTGAAGTTTCTATAACAATGCATTTGCACATTTACAAGGGGGAGGGGAAGATGATTGAGTTGAAGGAACCTAAAAAAAAAAAATTGAGTGAATTTAATTATAAACTCACACATACTGTATATATTTGATCTTGAACTGAAGACATCTTAGTTGAAAGCCTAAGCTTCAAATCAATAGACTAAGGCTTCAATTGGGAAAACATTCTTACTGTTTTGCTTTTCCGATCATAATCATAATTTCTATTTGGTAATTACTTTTCACTGCTTTAAAAAAAAAATTGTACTAGCTAGGAAGCTTCTCTCTACAAAAGTTACTTTCTTTACGATAGCTTTACAAAGCAGTACAAAAACTATCCCAAATGAAATTTAAGATGGGCTGCATAACTTTTCCGACTTACTCAATAGTTCTATACTTAACTAGCATATTACTTATTTAGTGTCTAGTAATATTCCATAAATAGGAAAAATAAGAAGTCATAAGTTTAGAACTTATTGTGTAGTTAGAAAAAGAAACTAGGGAGGCATTTTTGTTAGGGAGAAAAATCTTATAAGAAATTCATCAAAAAAATGATACTTCTTTGTGTTCCTTCTTAAATAAGATGTTGTAAGAAATTACTAAAGAAAAATTAATGATGCCTTCGACTTCTTTTTAAAATTAAATCTTTTGTGATTGAGTCTAGATTAAAAAAAAATTAATAATAAAATAAAACCTACTAAACATATCTATCCTCGAACATGACTTGTTTTTGAAAGTTTCTAAATCTTAAAAGAAAAAAAAATCACATGATAATCTTATTTTTCAAGATAAAACACGATTTTGAACACACACAATTTAGTTATAATTTTTTAAAAGACAAAATTTTAAAAAGGAGCAGATTAATAATTAAAATTAGGTATAGGAGCAGAGTCAGACAATAATTTAAAATGGAGCAAAATAGGAATTTCATTTTACTTGTTTTAAGAAACCTAAAAAGAAATCACAATATGTTAAAACTGGAAAATAAATTTTAAATAAATTTAACTTATAAATAAAATATACTTTAATAAAAATTTATTGTTGGGTTATTCAGAAAAAGCAAATATTTAAATTTGTCATTTTATTTTAAATATTATATATTCTGTAATAAATTAAAAATTAAAGTGGATTAGATAATATATATATTTAAGTGCTGAGAGAAACTTAAGTAAATTTTTTTTATTTTAATAACTTTTTATGAATAATTTATATTTTTAGGTTAATTAAAAAAATTAATTTCATAATTTTAAATTTGAAAAAATAAAGAATATTAACTATTTTTTGAATTACTATAATCACTGAAGATTTAATGACAAGTAAAATGTGTAATTAAATCTTCAGGACATACTAATACTTCAAAAAATAGTAATTTATTCTTTATATTATTACTAAAATTTAAATTATATTATATTATTTATTTTAAATGTAACCTAAAAATACTACTATTATTCATAAAAGAATAATTTTTAAAAATAAAAATTTTTACTTAAGTTTCTTCTCTTAACGATGCCTTAAAGATTAAGAAAACTAAGCCAAACTTATTTTCAAATAATTACAAAATTTTCTTCATTGTATGATAATATTAAAATAAAGAGATTTAAATAAAATATTAAATTGCCGATTTTTTAGAAATCAAGCAAACAAAATTTTATGACAATAGCTATATTAAATATTAGTGTTTTATAATAAATTATTTTTAATTAAATTGATTTTCTTGAGAGAAATGAAAAATTATTTATTATTTCTATAATAAATAATAAATTATTAATTTTTTCGTATGAAAATAACATTATTTTTACTAAACTGATTTCCTTAAAAATCGAAAAATCAATTTTCTGTTTCTTTTATTTTCTGGTTTCAACAAATCGTGATTTAATTTTTTGGTTTCTTAAACCACATAAAATGAAATTTGGATTTTGCTCCTTTTTAAATTATCATATAATTCTGCTCATATACTTAATTTTAATTATTAATCTGCTCCTTTTTTAGAATTTTATCTATTAAAAATGAATGCAATAGAAAATACCTATAAAATTTTTCAATAAAGAAAAAAAGACCATTTCTCTGACTTTAAAAAGTTTCATTTTATTAAAAATTATAGTTGTGACAATAGTATCAACTCAGTTCTAAATCAGTAAACTTTAAGGAGACTTTTCTTTTTTCTTCCACACACGGCTAGCTGCCTAAAAAATAAGCAATGGCTTGATCGAAAATGATGAGAATGAACTATTCATTAGCTATTTTTCTTCTACCTGCTACTATATAGAAAGCAAGTATCACAAGAATATTCACTGCAACTTTTATTTTCATAAGAGATCTTGACTCTTGAGCAAGAGAGAGAGAGATCATGTAGTGCTGATACAGTGCAAAATACTAGGAAATAATTCTTTCCCTTAAAGATGCCAGACACAATCCAAAAGCAATCAGAGAAGAGGGGTCATTTTCAGAGCACTCACTGTAGCCCTAGAGATTGATGATCAAAAACGAGTACTTGAAAAGCAGTAAAAAGTAACATTATTGTTCTTGTGCTGTTCAACTCCATAAAAGGATAAATCCCTTCTTTAAGCCCAGTCTTGTCGATGTATTTTTATAATATTTTAAATTAAAATTATCATTAGTGGCAATTAACTTAGCAAAAATAAAAAATTTATTGTGCAAATCGTGAGTATCAAAACAAGTGAAATTAGCAGCTCAACATTCTAAAATAAAAAATGCTCTAAATTAGAAGATCTAAGGGGAGATATACTGTGGAGCAATATAATTATAAAAAAATTCAAAAAAAAAAAAAAAAGAACACAGAAGACAAAAAATAATAATTATAAGTACCTGATGCAATGAATATATGACTTTTTTTTGGTGTGAATATGTTTTTACTGGATTTTAATTGTTTGCTGGGTAAAACTTTACTCTGTGCAACTTACAGTTTCCAGATTTATTCCACTACTGATCATTCAAATCATTTAAAATCTATCTTATGAGCTCTACATAGTAAATTGAGCTTCATTTACACAGTATATAAAGTACAAGTAAATATATAAGTTGAATGTATAGTGATTTTGTGGGTGTGAGATGGATCAGAATTAAAAGCCTGGTCAAAATCTATACAGACTCGCCATGGATGTAGGAAAGATAAAATATAATTAATATCCAATTAATGAATAATTAATGCTAAGAAGAAAGGATTTACCTGCAAGTTATTGTATCTATTGAAAGTCTTGAAGCACACAGGGCAGGAGAACTGTGTTGGTCCAATTAGTATCTGAGAAGGAGTAGGGATCCAATATTGTCCTTTGTTAAGCTTCCCTATGAGGGTTTCGGGATACCTTAATAATAGAACTTCTGCTGTTTCATCAACTCCACTCTCTTCTCCTTGCTTCTCTCCTTCTTCTTGAGCTGAAGTTACTGTTGATGAGATGAGATCTGCAGCATTAGGACTTGGAAGTCCTATGTGAAGAGTCACAGTCGCAGACTCAACATCCTCTACTAAGTCCTGATCATTTAATAAGTTCACTACTGTGCTGCTCTTCTTCTCTTCATCTTTCTCATCCTTAAGAAGTGGAAGAGCTTCCATTACGGGAGGTGAGGATGGTGGAGATAGGTGGTTATTGATATCCATGGGGGCTAAAAGAGGGAGATAAGGAGCAGGAAGAGATGGGTATGAGGGGAGGAAGTGATAGTTGAAGTAAGCCATGGAGAAATTTGTGTATGGTTCTACCATGTTTGTACATGAGGGTGTTTTTGGAGAAGAGGGATCTGTTTAGGAAGGTAGGTCATTTTATAAGATAGAGGGTGTAGGGGAGGGAGAGAGATAGATTACCGGAAAGAAAGACCGCAGTTCTCATAGGGATCGTGAGATACATAACATCAACGCTTTTAACATCCTAAAATTTAATTTAAAATTTTTTTTTTCAGATTTTTCATAAAAGTTGTGGCCAATATTGAACATTTTATATGTTAATATTGCATGCTGAATATAATCAATTCATTTGGTGAGTGTAATAATCAAGTTCTCTCCAAAAATCTTAATTTGAAACTAATATTTTGAAAATTGGGCTGGATCGATCGATTTGACTTTGAACTAGTTAGGTTGCCATTTCAGTTAGGTTCAACGGTTGGACTTGATTAATTCGGCTTGATTTAGTTTGAACTACTAGTTTGAACCGAAAATCACTAGTTCAAATTATAACATTTGATATATTGTTGATATAAGATACAACGGTTGAAATTTTACCCTAAAAATAAAAAATATAAATTTACTTAATTTATAATAACATATATTAAAAATCCCACAACCTTATTTTCCTCCCAACCCCAATTTCTATCTCTAGTGGCCTCTCTCTTGCATGTGAAGAGCTAAAGAGGCAAAGACATTGCCTCCCCGTGGCAGTGGGTTGAGAGAAATGCTTCAATACAATAACTATGTGTTTCTTCATATTGTGGATTAACAAATACACCTAGAGTTTCCCCTTCTACTATGATTGATGGCGTCACATCTATTATATATTACTTTTGATGGTATGTCGTTAATTTTCAAAAAGTTTTATTTACTGAATAATGTGTTGAGTATTACCCCAAAAAGCTGGTCGATTGGGCAGAAGCACCTCTACTTGGATTCATTACATTATATGAGACAACATTGATGAGAGCACTTAACTTCTTACCATTCAAAATTTTACATAACGAGGAATGTATGATTGAATCTGATGGATACAAATATCAATATAATGTTAATAACATTGTATATGACTTTTAGATATTTTTATGAGCTTCATGTTTTCCACATATAGTGTCAAAATATTGCGTCCTAAAACATTCACAGCAGTAGAGATTTGCATAGTTTAGCGTCATAGCCTTGTACGAAGATCCAACACATAGATAAATAAAATAGAATGGCGCAACAATCATAAAAGACACCTAAATTTTATGTTGAAAATCCAAAAAGAGGAAAAAAAATCACGGGACTTTGCTCAATTGAAATGATTCCACTAATATTGGTGGTTGAATACAAATGATGCCCTTCCCCTAGGGAAGGTGTTGACTCAATATAATAAATATACATTGTATGGAGCACATTACATAGTTGAAGTTGGGAGGATCTGATAACATGAGAGCTGCTATCAAGAGAATGTTAGCATATTTATTTTTTTGGTAGGACCATAATTAGGCGATGGAGTTCAGAGGGATCTTAGTTGGACGATAAAGACCATAATAACATTAATCGATGGATGTAGGTGGTTGGAGGGACCAAAGTCAAAAGATGACGATGGTTGGAGATGTCATAATCGACATATGATGGTGGTCGGGGGAACCATAGTTGACGGGCGACAGTGAAGGAAAACATGTCAATCGTTGTTAGATGGAGGTCTGACGATGATGATCGGACATAGGTTTAGCAGCAGCAGTCGGCCTAGTGCCACAGATTCATTGGCAGTGGTGCCATGGTGGAGCTCTAAGATTCTTCAAGCTTTAACTCTTCTCTTCTTCCCCTTATAACAAGGGAAGATTGGATGCTATCTCTCCTTAACATATATGTAGCTAGGGATTTTATTTATATTTGACTAATTTATAGGTATTATTATTGTAGTCTAGAATATTTTCGATACTAAAAATAAAGTATGTAACATTATAGATTCGTATGAAAATCCATCATACACTTATTGCAATGGGTTGCAAGTCATCAAAATTTTATGCTGAAGATCCAAAAAGGAAAGAAAAAAAAAAACCACTAGGCCTGAACTAGTTGAAAAGATTTTATAAAGTATGTGGTCAATTACAAATGTGTCCTCCTTTGTAATTGGGGATGGCCTTTATCCATCAGTGTAAACATAAACTATACATAATGATTTTTTTTTTTTATGGAAATTGTAAAATCTTGAGACTTTGGAGCTTTCTTTAAGAGATTAGCTATATATTTGATTATTCTTCTGTAAAGATATGATGGTAACGACTGAGAAGACTAGAGTAAATCTTGGTGTTGACATCGAGAATCAAAGTTAGTATCAATAGTGTATATCAGTCTTATAAGCATTGGCATCAATCAATGTTTGTGGCAATAGCAGGGAGACAAAGCCAACCAATCTTGACATGGCCAGGTGATTGTTTCCAAGGGATCTTAGTTAAGAAATAGTGGTTTAGAGACTATAGTTAGGTGACATTGTTTGAGAGATCGTACTTGAGCAATGCTAGTTTGGAGATCTTACTATTACGCTTTGATCATTGCCACACGATTAGCACCATACAACTGCTACATCTCCATCATTCTCCCTTACATTCACATATTTTAAACTTATATTGCATATTTTGTAATCCCGTCTTCTCCAATTGAGTGGAACATCATACTATCATAATTGACATATCATCAAAAAATTATCTAGATCGAGCACGAATCTCGAAGCAAAATCAAATTGGAAAGTTCTAAAATTAAAATTGGGAACATCCAAACTCCGATTCCAGCAAACTTACATTTGAACTGAGTGTCTCAAAAATATGAACCCAACGACACCAAAATCGACTCAATCCGAGTCCAAATGGATCCAAATCAAGTACCCAAGGCACTATTGGAAAGTTCGAACAACAATTTTACCAAATGGTTTGCAAACATTACATGCTTATACTTGAATCGAGCGGCTCAATGAGATGAATCCAACGATCCTAATTAAGATCACCGAATTCCGACATCACTAAGTCCTTCAAATGTCTGACGAACGGTCCACAATCAAGGGATTCACTATCAGTCGTTCATCCAATCACTCCCCATTTACCCTTGATCTCTCACCTATTTATGGGCCATGTCACTCCAGAAATCTATAAATAGACCCCTCATTTATCTTGAAAAAGGGGGGCTCAAAATAAGAGAGCAAGAGAGAGATCGGAGATCGCTCTTTCCTCCTCGCTCCTCCTCGACCACCGCCGGAGTTTTGCCGGACCACCGCCTAATGTCTTTGCTCCGTCTGACCATCACTTGAGGCCCTCACCTCCACCAGACCACCACTTGAGTTTCGGACTTCTGTCGGACCACCACCTGATGCCCGGACTTCTACCGGACCACCACCTGAGGCCTTGACTTTTGTTTGGCCATTATATGATGCCTAGAGTTCTACCAGAATACCACCCTAATACAATGATCTTTCTGACCCTGATCTCCGGCTAACTACGACTTTTGGACCCCTGTCTCCTGCCGACTATGGTCATTCTGACCTCCATAGCCTACTATAGTCCTTTTGACCTACATCGCCAGACAACGAACTTTCTGACCTAAGTCTCCTGCATACTGTGGTCCTTTCGACCTACACTGTCGGACAATGATCTTTTTGATCCCGGTCTCCTGCCTATTATGATCTTTACGACCTCTATCCTATCAACTATGATCCTGCCAACCAAGCAAACATGTATATGTTGATTATTGTAACTCCCACCATGTAATGCGCTCTATATGATGGTACATTTGTGACATCAAGCCAAGGGCTTCTCCCAAGGAAGGGCCTCATTTGTTATTCAACTACAAATACTAGTGAATTCATTCAAACTGAGCCAGACCCCGTGATTTTTCCTCCTTTTTCAGGGGTTTCAACGTAAAAACTATGGTGTCTCTTATAAATGTTACACCCTCTATCTAATTTACGTGTGTGCTGGATCTTCATACAATGCTAAGACTTTAAACTTTATATTTCTCTACCGCTGTGAATACTCGAGGAAGCAACAATAATCTATCCACATAATGGACCATTTCATTTGGCCAAGTCTTAAACTTTTTTCCCTTCTTATGTTTTTCACGTAAAAATTAAAGTGTACATTCTTTTTTATTATTTCTATATATTGAATCTTCATAAAAATTTAAGAATTAAAAGTTCTCTCTCTTTTGTCACGAATTTTCTTAACACGCAACCATCCTTGCTTATAATTTTTACAATTGCAATAAATAAATAACTTCAAATGGGTAAATATATCATGTAAAGTTTTATATTATAATATACTTTCTTCATATTCGTAAAAAGTAATTAATGTGAAGTTGTTTGATGAGAATTCAAAATTATTTATTCAACGAGCATGGGCCTATAGAGAGAACACTACAAAGTCTAAAACAAACATGTACGCTTTCTATTGACGCCATCAGATTCCAAAACAGTGCTTATTGATAGCTGCGTATCATTGGATTTTGTAGATTTGAATACTTGTGAACTTCAAGAGAACAGTATATGGCTTTGATTGCTTTTTGGCTTATTTATGTGTAGCTGGAAGATGATTGCTTGTATGAGGTGAGCTCATGGTTCACAAGACATTCCCCTTAACCATTTGTTCATTAATTGAATATCCTGTCAAGATTACTTCCTATTTTAATTTCTAAAAGCATATGCCTAGAAACTAGTCCCGTCAACAATTTTTTTGTTGTTGTTAAAGCTCACTTACGAGCTTACGAGTTAGTGTCCAAAAAATAGTAGAAGATCCTTAAGAGGACCTCAGCTCTTTATTGCTAGAACAAGTTACAAAATAATAATAATAAAAAATTATGAGCCGGAGTTCCCCACTAAGCACAAGTACATAACAACTTAATAACATTCTAGGTCGGCCAACAACAAGCTCCCAAAAAGAAATGAAATAGATAATTCCATTCAGCTCAATCTTCAAACCAATAAAAACTAGTCCTGCAAAAAAAGAAGGATAAACTCCAAAAACCTATGAATTAGAACCGCAAAGAAATAGATAAAACAAATTAACCATAGCCAGAACAAAATAGATATATAATTAAAGCATAAAAGACATAAGATGCAACAACTCTCTGAAATGAAAGAACCATCACAGCCAGATGAAGCCACATTCCATAATTTCATAGAGTACT